GCAGAAATTAGCAGCTTTAATTATGGAATATAAAATTTGGAGTTAAGTGAGCACATAGAGATTGCCCATTCAAATGCCCTTGTTTGTCAAAGAGAAAAGCACAGAGACAGTCACTTACTCAAGTTAATACAGGCGGTTGGCAATACAACCATATCCAATCTGTCACTAAAACCTATTCATTTTTTATCATCAGAATATCTCTTGACTTTCTCTGCTTCTTTATCTCCCTCACCCTAGTTAAGGCTATCATGATCTCTCATGATATCTATACTACATATGATTGGTCTCCCCATAGCTCCTCATTTACAAAGTATATTTGATCATAATTATTCTTCTACTTAAAAATCCTTCAAAAATGTCTCCTTGGTCATAGAAAAATAGGTTAGTCTTTGTTCTGGAAGACCTTAAATGATCAAACCCTGCTACCTGTCTATGTTGACACCATTGTCCCCCTTACCCCTGGATTCCAGTCACATTGGTCTCTTCAGTTTATCACATGTACCATGCTCTTTCCTTCCTCCTTTCATTCTCTCCCTCCCCCCCTCGTTTCCTTCCTCCTTCCTTCCCTTCTTTTTCATACCTCCCCTTTTCCTCCCCTATCTTTATTGTTAAGAATGCTACATATGTCCCTCTTTTCCCCCCTCTATTTTTCCTCTCCACCCAGTTCCTGCCCTCTCCCAGTCCTTCACCACCCTAATTGTCTGTGTCCATGGACGGTGCATCCCTCTTGAGATTCATCAGTCTGTTCCATGTTTCCATGCCTTTGGTACTTATTTATTTTTGTTTATTTAAATTGACATACAGTATTATATTAATTTCAGGTATAAAGCATAGTGATTCAATATTTATATACCTTACAAAATGATTGCCAAAGTAAGTCTATTAATCACCTCTCACCATACATAGTTTTTCCGATGTTATAAACTCTAATCCCTATGCTGTACATTACATTACCATGGCTTATAACTCAAAGTTTGGATTTCTTAATCCTCTCTTTCCCCTTTTCAGCCTTCCTCTTCTCTGGCAACCATCAATTTGTTGCCTGTATCTTCTACACGATAAGGAAAACTTTGGAGCAGCAGTCGCTAACTGTGGTTCTTGGACCACTGGTGGCCACGAGGTCTGAAAGGTCCGGGACTGCTGTTCACAGCATCTTGTTATATATTGTTTCTGTTGCTTGGAGTGCTTCTACTGCTCTAGCCAATGCCTACTTATCCTTCAGATTTCATCACTTCTTCAGAGATGAGATTCTGACATGTAAAGTATTTAAAGAAGCTAATAATGGTTTTAAAGAATTATTTTTTGAGAGATTATGTGTGGAAGATTACACTGATAAAGATAAAAGAATTCCTGAAAATTGCTGTAAAAACCACTTGATGATGGCTGCTATGCAGTAGGACTATTTTTACCTTGATTAGTACTCTCAGGGTTATTTGCTCTTAAGTTAGTCATTTTGGGGGAGGATGAGAAAGAAATTGCCTGTCATCCACAAATGCGAAGTAGAGATAATATCATAATAGAAACGACAAAAATCTTTGCCTCATTTTCTCTCTCTTCTTAGTATGATTGACTCAATTAATATTTTATTTAGAGCAAAGTGTTCTGTGAGTCATACTTAACAAATTCTATTTTTTCCCCCCACCCCTTTGTCTTTCTTTTTTCCCTGTTGATGCTAATCTTATAATTGTTGATAATACATTCTTGCTGAAATTTGCACATATTTATGCTGGGATTCTTTTAGTAACTAGGCTTAGTCTTTTGTGGCTATTGAATTCATGTGAAGTTCATTTTCATAGTCAGCTAGGGTTGCCATACCAGAATACCACAGGCTGGGTACCTTAAACAACCGAAATTTATGTTCTCACAATTCTCGAGACTTGAAGTGCAAGATTAAGATGCTGACTTTTCTGATAAGGCCCCTCTTCCTGGCTTGCCAAGGGCTTTCTTGCTGTTTCTCACATGGCCTATTGTCAATGTGCACATCTAGAGAAGGAGATAGGGAGGGAGAAGTGTGTCTTTTCCTATTGGAATCAGGCCCTATCATTATGACTTCATTCATTCTTAATTATCTCCTCAACTGACCTGTCTCCAAATAAAGTCACACTGTGGATTAGGGATTCAACATATAAATTGGGGTTGGTAGTGCACATTTCAGCCCATACACTCATGTAACACATAGTAGTCATTTTGATATTATTTATTTTATACTAGAGGTCTGGTGTATGAAAAGTCATGCACTGGATGGGGGTCCCTCAGTCTGGCCTGCCCCCTCTCACAGTCTGGGAGCCCTCAAGCGTGGAAGGCGACCTGGCAATCAGGGGAAGGCGATGCTCCATCACACCTCTGCTGCTGCCACTGCCGGCAGCGCAAACCTTGGCTGGCCCTGTTACCTGAGCCTTGGGTGGCCCTGGGTGGTGGACAGCTGTCTTCCAAGACTTGTCCGTGCCTCGGGCCAGCCCTGGGCATCCGGGAGTGGGGGGTGGGGAGGCTGAGCGCGGGTTTGGTCGCACTGTGCACCTGCCCATACCCCTGGTGGGGCTGAAAGGATGGCCTCCCTTTTTGTAGAGTGTTTAGGAAGACTTTTCCCATACAGAGTTATTTAATTTTTTTTCTAGTATTTTATAATATTGTGTTGTTGTTGTTGTTTTTAACTACATTTGGAGTTTATTTAAATGGATGGTCCCAGTTTATCCAACCCTATTTGTTATATAGTACATTATTTTCTTGATGATTTGAAGCCACCTTTAGCTTAATCTAAATCTCTATGTATATACAGATTTATTTCTGGACACTTTTTCTGTTCTTTTCATTGTGTTTTTCTCATTCCTTTACCAGTAGTACATTTCTGATTGTGCTTAGTTACTATGTCTTTTGGAATCTGAAAGGACTAAAACATTTTTCTTCACTTAATTTATTTTGCATAGCTATTCTTGCTATTTTTATCTATAGTTTTACTTTTTCTTTTCTGTTGCTTCTTAGTATTGTAATCTTACTCATCCCTCTTCTGACTTGTGGCTATTAAGTTATATGTTAACTACGAAAGTAAATAACAGACTGCTAGTACTTTAGATAAAATACTCTCTAAATTGAGGAAATGGAGAAATCAATGAGATTGATTAATGGGTAGAATGTTCTTCCTTTGTAAAAAGAAATTTATTAAATATGTTTTAGTTTCTCAGAGGCTTAGTTTTTTTCATTTCTAGGTTCTTAGTAATATTTTAAATAGTTGGAAGTTGCTGAATATGCAATCTCTATATAAACATTAATATATAGAGTTAAAGTTATTTTTAAAACAGAAGCTATGTTTTGTTTATTTCTGTCATGTTAGGTTAATGAAAGTTGTCTGTTAATTGGGAAACAAGTAAGTGACCTAGTCCATTTTTTGCTTCAAGGTTTTCTTTCCTAGGAATACAAAAAAGAATAAAAGAAAAAAAAAGTAGGTAATTAAGTAGAATAAAGTATTACTCTTATTTTAAATCAGCTATGGCCAGATGCTATTATAAAAACATCTGTTACCATGGAGCATCTTTAACTTAAAGTTAGCTTTATACTTTGAAAAAATAATTCTCAGTAGATTTGGGTAGTTTGTAGCCTTTATTGTACCTAATTGTTGAGCTTACATGAGGAACTTAAAGTGACATCCTTTTTTAGTGCAAAATCAATGGAATCCTGTATTATCTCTTCATTCTAAAGCAGAAGAAATAGAGAAATAGATGTATATCAATAAAAGTTAACATTTTGTGTAGTATTAATTTTTTTTACATTTTTTAAATTCTAAATTAAGTGTATGGAATCTACTTTTTTTTAGAACTTCATTTTAAGCATTTATTTATTTTTTAAAATATCTCTGATACTGTGAATTTGTATGTATACATGTGTGTGCTGAGTATTACACAAGGGAATACTATTTCTCTTATTCCTGCACAGGTGAATTATTTAAGGGTTTCTAGGACTGCACTAAGATTTGGGGCATCTTTGGGACATAAAAGCATCTATACTTTGTCTAAACATTTCAGGCTTAGAGTGCCCTACAGATCCAGAAATAGGATGGTTCTATATTGTGATTAGTATCTGGAGTCTAGTCAGATCTTACTTGGGCAAGAAACATACCCTTATAGACTTGGGATTTCCTGAATCTTCATATATTTGTTCTAATGGGGTTTAGTAAATCAACATGCCATATGTCAGAACTCACACAATGGATTCAGCCTACAGAGACTTACATGGATTGGTGCACACAGTATTTTTTAAATATCTAGATTTATGGCTTCTCCTGAAAAATTTGAAGATCTCCCAACCTGAGCTCCATATCACCACATGGCAGCAAATAACTAGATGGGCATGTGCTCTCCAATTTGCCAGTGTCTATACCACTCCTTATCCTAAACGTGGCAGTTGCCATTTATCACCACACTTGCACTATCACACTTTGCCCCTTTCATTTATGTTCCTACACAGCATCTGAGGTTTGGAAGATCTAATTTATAACTATCAGTCTTCATCTCTTTTTCTGTGTCTGGGCAGCTAAAGTGACAATGAGTAAATAGCAATTTAATATTGTTAGAACAGTCAACTCTTTTTCCCCCCCAGAAACATATGACATATTCATATCTTCATTTTCTCTTGCATTTTCCCCCTGAAATATTTTATCCACTCTTTTGCAGAATCCTACTCATTTCAATTGCCAACACCTTGAATCTTCCTTAACAGCCTTACCTACAATATTGTGTTCCTCTTCTAAAGTCTTAGAACACTTATGTTCACCACCACTATAAATTTATTATGGGAGAGGTTTAGAGAGTTTTATTCAATTATAAAATAAATAATTGTGTTTCTGTTAAGTGGTTTTTGATTTGTCTTAATATGGTTCATACTTTTTTTTTCAAATAGAATATTATTGTCATCTTGAAGACTAAGAAAAGTAACTTTAAATTTTGTTTCCCTAGTTTTCAAATTGGCCTTCAGACATTAAATTCAAATAATGTTTTTCTTACTTTCAGTTACAGATGAAGACACAGTAAAGAGGTATTTTGCCAAGTTTGAAGAAAAATTTTTCCAAACCTGTGAAAAGGAACTTGCCAAAATCAACACATTTTATTCAGGTGAGTGGTTTTTTGGTGCAACATACAAAAGACAATTTCTGCTGCGAAGGAGAAACGACCATGTCATTGTTTAAACATTGGTCATAATTTTAAAATTGGTTTTCCGCCAAAACCGATTTGGCTCAGTGGATAGAGCATCGGCCTGTGGACTGAAAATTCACAGGTTCGATTCCATTCAAGGGCATGTACCTTGGTTGCGGGCACATCCCCAGTAGGGGGTGTGCAAGAGGCAGCTGATTGATATCTCTCTCTTATCGATGTTTCTAACTCTCTAACCCTCTCTTCCTCTCTGTAAAAAAATCAATAAAATATATTTTTAAAAAATTTGATTTCCTTGTTAAATTGCACTTAAGGGATATTTTCTTTCTTTCTCTCTCTTTCTTTCTTTCTTTCTTTCTTTCTTTCTTTCTTTCTTTCTTTCTTTCTTTCTTTCTTTCTTTCTATCTTTCTTTTTTTTTTTTTTTTTTTTTTTTAATATATTCCATTGATTTTATACAGAGAGGAAGGGAGAGAGATAGAGAGTTAGAAACATCTATGTTTCTAAGATCAGCTGCTTCTTGCACACCCCCCACTGGGGATATGCCCGCAACCAAGGTACATGCCCTTGACCGTAATCGAACCTGGGGCCCTTCAGTCCCCAAGCCGACGCTCTATCCACTGAGCCAAACCGGTCCCGGCAAGGGATATTTTCTTTAGCTGAGGTGGAAACACATCTGGTACCTCAGTGTTTAAGTCTTACCACCGGGTGGTGACCGCGAGCCTACATGTTCTTATATTTGCAAGGACTTGGGATCTCATTGTGAACCAGTATCTTGATAGAGCTTCACTGTAGCCCAGTCTAAAGCTTTAAGGGTCTGAAACTTAATTTCATAATTTCTTTCAGAGCTGAGTTACAGTTTCAGCTTTTTAATAATGACAGTTTTATTATCCATCCCCCCTTGCATTGTGCAACACTCATATGTATCTCTCTAAAGCTCACAGTTAGCAGAGTAGCTTCTACAAGATGCTATTGAAATTGAGAAGAAAATATTAAAGCTATGTTTATTTATATCTTACTCTTTAAAATTTTGTTTTTAATACATGTTTGCTTCCCCCCCTTTTAACATCTGTTTGTTGTCTCTCAGAGCTCAAGTTTCTTGACTCCCCCAACCCTCCTAGAATGACTTCCTTCTTCTTCATTTAACCACTTTGCCCCTGTACTTTTACTCCCTTTATCCTTATTGCTTGTAATGCTTCTGCCTAGTGAAACTCCCAATTGTGGACCAATATGCCATTTTCCATCTTCATGTGTACCCATGAGTTGGTTAGGACAGCTAGGGAAAAGTCATATAGCAGAACAAATTTGAATCACTATAAATTCATTTTGGGATTCTTAACTGGATCCTAATCAATGTTCTTTTCTATGCTCCAAAGTGCTCTTCTAAACCCTTCACCATTCTTTTGAGTTCTCTGAGCTCAAAATCTTCTCCATCATGCTGATTAATCTCTTACTTTACAAATAAAAATAAAGACCTTCAATTCCTATTGGTGTATAATACTTAGGTAGATCTATGCCACTCACTCTCCCTAGATACCTACAGACATTCTTACCGTTATTAATTTTCCTCCAGTCATCGTAGAAAAGATATCCCTCTTCAGTCTATGCAAATCTCTACAATTACTGATTGAATTTCAGTTTCTTGAGATCTTGATCTAGTAATTATCTTCTCTAAGAATTATTGGATAAGTGCATTGTTAATTTTCCTTTTTGCTGGTTTAGTTTCCTTAACCAGTCACTCCTTTCAAGCAAAGAATAAAAAGTAAAGGGAAGCGAATATCTTAACTGTGTCCACCTCATCTTTCATTGATGACTGGACTTCTTTCTAGGTGGAGGGAACAGTTTATGCAAAGGCACATGGCCGTTAATGGACATGGCATATATTCATGTTCTTCTCACTCATTATAAACACCTAGAAGGCAGACAAAATAGAAATATTATAGCCTAGCCAGTGTGGCTCAGTAGTTGAGTGTCAGCCCAAAAACCAAAAGGTCACCCGTTTGAATTCTGGCCAGGGCACATGCCCAGGTTGTGGGCTCAATCCCCAGTTAGGGGTGTGCCAGAGGCATCCAATTGATGATGTTCCTCTCTCATCAATATTTCTATTTCTCTATCCCTCTTCCTCCCTCCCGCTTAAAAACTCAATGAAGCATTTTTTTTTAAAAGGAAATATTATTTGAAACCATACAAACTGATAAATTTTAATCAAGGGAAAAATGTACAAAAGGAATGACAATTTTCAAGGACAAAAATCATTTCTATAATCAGGAGGTAGGAGAATAAAGAGGAACCCAGTATTGTAGACAGCCATGTAATAAAGGCTGAGGAAGAGGAGGTCAAAGAGGAAGGATTTGCAGTGGAAAGAGTGTTGAGATTGAGAAAAGGCCATTGTATATGATCTAAGGCTGTAAATGAAAAACAAATGAGGTCAAAATTAATAGCATTTTCTTTTACTATTATTTTTTTTTGGTGGATTTCTAAGCCCAACTCTAAATGGATAATTTAAATCACAAAGAAGAGTTAATCATTCTTAGTTTACAAAGAAAAATAAATATCTACTCTTAACAATAGATAAATACCTTTTATATTTTTTTAGTTACACATAGATATGTGTGTTTTGTGTGTTTACATGCATCTATAAATGTGTGTATATATGTAATATATTTAAATAATTTTTTATGGAACAATACTCATACCACTTATGATTTATTCTGTTTTTATTAATTAAATATTTAATTATTTCTAAAATCCTGATTTATGATACACTGAATTGCTTTTATAACCCCATATTGAAATAAACCTTCAGTTTAAAAAATGATATCTTAGACTTGTTACTTTTTAAAAACAATTGTAGGCTTTGTGGGCTCAATCCCACTATTACTATTAAAAACTTGGGGGCTGTGATTTAACGACTTCCTTTTTCTATGTAGCAGGGCCATCAAGACATGTCTCTTGATGTCATCACAGAGTAGATACAAATTCATAGTCTTCAGACTGACTTTTTGCCAGGTCAGGAAGTGATGGGTAATATGAAGACACGATTGACAGAAATAAAATTTGGCACTTGTCCTAGACAGTATCATTTTTCTCCTTAGTTAGCTGCCTTTTTCATGGCAGATTGTCTTGTAACTGTAATCTTCAGACACTAGGACACATGAGAAACTATAAATAATACAGGGGTGAGTTCAGCTTACCTAGTATACACCTATCTCCTTTACTCACATCTCATAGAAATATTTAATGACTAGCTAAAATGGTCATTTTTAAGTGAGATATAATATTGACTAAAACTTGCCGAAATCGGTTTGGCTCAGTGGATAGAGCGTCGGCCTGCGGCCTGAAAGGTTCCAGGTTTGATTGCGGTCAAGAGCATGTACCTGGGTTGCGGGCACATCCCCAGTTGGGGATGTGCAAGAGGCAGCTGATCGATGATTCTCTCTCATCGATGTTTCTAACTCTCTATTTCTCTCTCTTCCTCTGTGTAAAAAAATAAATAAAATATATTTAAAAAAATATTGACTAAAACTTATTACTCCAAGCAAATACTATAAAAGCCAAGCAAACAAAACAATAAATACTACTGAAATGTGAATATTTTCACACCAATTCTATTATCTACCAATTACATTTTTGACTTTTGACCCTTATTATTTTTTTTTAGAAGAAGTTTACCATTTAACTTTCCTAGGTGTCCATATATACTTGCTTATAAAGTGGGCAAATTGATTCCCAGCCTTCTAGGTTCCCACATGTGAGGAGTCAAGCTATTTTAAAGTTTCAGAAAACCTGATGTAAATTATTTTATTGATCTTTATTTTTTACTACATATATTTGGTTAACATGATAGGGGTATTTATTTATATTTATATAAAAATCTTTTAATATTTGAAGACCCTGGGAGAGAGGATAATTTTTTAAAAGAACTGGTCCTTTTTGGTGACACCATTGCTGATCATTGGCCTAGAAGTATCCCAGGTCTCTTTCAACACTAAAAGTGGTATCAGTCTTGAAGGCTATAATGTTAGAAATCTTTTTTGTGGTGACTAGTTATTTCTTCTTTTTGTCTAATCGTGGTAGAAGGAAGAAATTTAGGAGAATGCAGTAGGAAAATTATGGCAGTAGAAATAGATTTCTTTAAAAAAATTTTATTTTTATTTTTATTGATTTCAGAGAGGAATGGAGAGGGAGAGATAAAAACATTAACAATGAGAGAGACTCACTTATTGGCTGCCTCCTACATGCACCTACTGGGATCGAGCCCATAACCCCAACATGTGCCCTTAACTAGAATCAATCCTAGGATTCTTCAATCTGCAGGCTGACACTCTATCCATTGAACCAAACAGGATATGACCAGATCTATTTCTTGTCTGTTAAATATTTTCAGGCTTTATATAAATGCAAGACCAGTTGGATAATAGTTACTCAGAAGTATTTCTATTATATAGTTACTAGAGGCCTGTTGCATGATATTCATGCAAGAATAGGCCTTCCCCTGGCTTTACTCCCAGCCGCCTGGGAGCTGGCAAGTCCCCACTCCTTGCCCACCTGAGAGCTGGCAAGTTCTGCTTCTTTCCAGAGTACCACTCCTGTAGCTCCTGTTGCCCTCCCTCCTTCCCCTCATAGCAGGTGTCCCATTTTTGTTGGATTAATTTGCATACTCACTCTTATTGGCTGTGGGCAAAGCGGAAGTACAGTCAATTTAAATGTCTGTAATTAGGTAACATTCCTATAATCCTGTCATACAGTGTCTTGTTATGTGTTTACTTTTCTTTATTCTTTTTTAAAAAATATATATTTTACTGATTTTTTTTCAGAGAGGAAGAGAGAGGGATAGAGAGAAACATCAATAGAGAAATATGGATCAGCTGCCTCTTGCACATCCCCTTATTGGGGATGTGCCTGCAACCAAGGTACATGTCCTTGACCGGAATCAAACCTGGGACCTTTCAGTCCACAGGCAGATGCTCTATCCACTGAGCTGAACCAGTTTCAGCTACTTTTCTTTATTCTTATTGAATTTAAGATACCACAATGTGTAATGCAATGTAAGAATCTCACTGAAATACTAAGTGTTCCTTTTCAAATGATTATATGTATCTAGTACCCCACATTTAACAGGTTTTGTTCTATGCTTATATATGTGGTAAAAATGTGGATTAAGTCTATTTTTAATTAATTAGGGTAAAATTCCCATTTCTTCCTATTTCATGAATATCTTGAATCTTGAGATCATTACAACAAAATCAACTACTTAAAAGCTATTAAAAGATGGGGGCAGAGAGAAAGTTAATTAAAGCAATTAGCCTGACTTGCTTTCTTGTTAATAGATCTCATGAAATTTATATATATATATATATATATATATATATATATATATATATATATTATTCACAGTATATTATACTTTCTCCATTTTGTTAAAAAAAAAGTGATTGATAGTTTAAAAAAATCAAGCCATGTGAAACCAACTTAATTTATTCTTTCTGTTTACCTCCTCCTTTCCTTCTTTCTTTTCTCTGCCTTTTTCCTTCTTCCTCCCAAACCCTGGCAACCACTAATCTACTTTCTATCTCTGTGGATTTACCTGAGAGATAAATATATTCATTTCTTATGATCATTTTTTTTTTAAATGGAATGCAGAATGTGGCATTTTCTGCCTGGCTTCTTTCACTTACCATGGTGTCTTCAAGATTCATCTATGTTGTACCATAAATCAACACTTAATTCCTTTTTATTACTAAATAATATCCCATTTTACATATCCTACATAATAAAAGCCTAATATGCTAAGTCTCTGGTTTTCTGTTCAACCAATCAAAGCGTAATATGCTAATGATATGTTAAGGTCGCTCAACTGCTCGCTATGAGTGCACTGACCACCAGTGGGCAGACGCTTTGACTGGTAGGTTAGCTTGCTGCTGGGGTCTGGTTGATCAGGACTGAATGAGATGGGCCGGACATGCCCTGAAGCCCTTCCACGGCCGGTCCCTCCCCAGCTGGCCAACCATCTGTGCCCCTCCCCGTCCTTGACTGTATACCCGTGGGGTCCCTTGGCCTTGCCTGTGCCCTCTGGTAATCCAAAACCCCCTTGGGGGATGTCGGAGGGCTGGTTTCAGCCCGATCCAGCAGGCCAGGCTGAGAGACCTCCCTCACTGGTGCACTAATTCGTGCACCAGGTCTCTAATGTACCTTATTTGCTTATCCATTCATCAATTAATGGACATTTGGGTTATTTTCACTTTTTTTATTTTTTGGTTAATCTTCACCAAGGATATCTTTTAGAGAAACTGGAAGGGAGGGGAGAAAGAGAGAGAGAGAAACATCAATACATCGATGTGAGAGAGACACATTGATTGGTTGCCTCTTGCATGCAGCCCAACTGGGGCCAGGAATCAAGCCTGTGACTGCAGTACGTGCAGAATTGAACCTGAGCCCCTTCACTCCATGTGCTGAACACTCTTACCACTGAGCCAAACCAACTGGGGCTATTTTTTCACTATTATGAATACTAATTTGTGTATGTGCACATGTTTTTGTGTGAACATATACTTTTAGTTCTCTTGGGTATATACGTAGGAGTGAAATAGCTGGATCTTAAGGTAACTATGTAAACTTTTGAGAACTGCCAAACTGTTTTCCAAATTACAATGTGGTTGTACTGTTTTTGCATTCTTATTCTTAGTGGCTTTTTAAATTCTGTGTCATTTGTCAAAAGTAAGGATACATTTGAGATTTTGTAGGAAGGGAAATGTAGGGTAGATGAAAAGAGGGTGTTGTACCAAAACATTTTTTCCCTATCCAGTTCTAAACATTACATGTAACTTTTTCTCTAGAAATTTTAAGGAAACAAATTAGTATGATTAGTAAAAATTCAGACAAATTGGTAAGAACTTTTACCACCATTTTGATCTTGATGTTTGGACAATTCTGTTTCATTTCTTATAGAAAAGCTCGCAGAGGCTCAGCGCAGATTTGCTACACTTCAGAATGAGCTTCAGTCATCACTGGATGCGCAGAAAGAAAGCACTGGTGTTACTACACTGCGACAGCGCAGAAAGCCAGTCTTCCATCTGTCCCATGAAGAACGTGTGCAACATAGGAATATTAAAGATCTTAAACTGGCCTTCAGCGAGTTCTACCTCAGTCTTATTCTGCTGCAGAACTATCAGGTACTTACATTCTTACCCTGGAGAATGACATTTTTAAATAATTGAGAAATTACAATAAATGGAATTACCTGGAACTGTACTTATGGGCCAATCCAAAAGTAAAATCCTTAGTATGCCATTATTCTTTTAAAAAAAATATATATTTTATTGATTTTTTTACAGAGAGGAAGAGAGAGGGTTAGAGAGTTAGAAACATCGATGAGAGAGAATCATTGATCAGCTGCCTCTTGCACACCCCCTACTGGGGATGTGCCCACAACCAAGGTACATGCCCTTGACCAGAATCGAACCCAGGACCTTTCAGTCCTCAGGCCGACACTCTATCCACTGAGCCAAACAGTTATTCTTTAGGTGCTTATTGAGATTTCTGATGTTCTTACTGGCTAAAACCATGTTACCAGAGGTAGTAAAATAAGACTTCTATTTTCGAAGATCAGTTTTCTAAAACCTATTAATAAGACTTCTATTTTCGAAGATCAGTTTTCTAAAACCTTTTTGTACAATATTCAGTAGTAGCCTTGACTAATAGTTTGTCTCCTATTTTTTTGGAGGCATTTCTAGCCTTACTGAGTAGAAATCAGAAATAATGTATATCTACTCAGCCACTGGTGGCTATGTAAGAGCTTCTATATTGCTGCAAAACTATAGCAAAATTTCTACAACTGCAATTGGACAGTTAACTTTCCAATGAACATTAACAATATAAAAGATACTGACTTTTTAACTTGCCACTAAGAATCCTTGCAGTTTTATTATTCACAGGCTGCAATATAACTTTTTTTAAATCTGGTTAAAAAAAAAAAGGAATTGTCACAGCAAATGTGTATACAGACCAAACATCTAAGTTACTATATCACTTAATATTTTAAAAATCCAATCTGAAAAATCGAGCTACCATGTATGTGAAATTTGTTTACAGGGCATTTATTCATTTGTCATTATAGATTTGTTTATATAGTTAAATTTATAAGGAATTTACTGAAAAACAGATGATTCATTCACTAATAAACATTTAAATTAGGCAATACATCTTTCTCACCTTCCGCCCATCTTTAGAGAGATCTTATGCACTATTCTTTTTTCATTTTATTCTTGTGATTGTTACAGTTCTAACCAATCGTTATGATCATTATAGGATCATATGTATATGAACTAAAGATTATATAACAAAAGTATTATTAGGTATAAATACTGGTATTTTAATATAAAAAGTAAATGTAGCCTCATATCTGCAGTGATCTAAGTTGTTAATGCATGAATTTATTTCTCTTTCCCTTTTATAATTCTGCTTTCTTGTTTGCTGGTGTGTTTTTTTTTTTTTTTTTATCATTGAAAGAATCATCCAGTTGGAAAATAATTTTAGAAGAATAGAAAAATAATTAGATAAGATATATCTGATAGGAAATTACTTTCCTTTGCAATTTATTCATAGGCTTTATAACTTATTTTTTGAGCATTGTTATATACAGCAAAAAGGTTGCAGGTCCAATCCCCTGTCAGGACATGTACAGGAGGCAAACGATCCATGGCCTTCCTCTCTCTTTTTCCCTTTTTCTTTCTCTAAAACCAATAAAAATATTCTTAGGTGAGGATTTTTTTAAAATGTATTTCTTTTCTTTCTTACATTTCATAATTTATTATTTATGCTTGTGTGTTATAGGGAAATACCCTTGTGAAATTTTTTAATTTTCCTAGAAGCTTTTGTTTGGGGTCATTATAAAAAGCTCCTTGGGAAAACAAAACTAATTATAAATTATAAAAGTTTTGATTTATCCTTGTGTTCTTTGAGGGTTGTTTATCTATAAGAAGACATTGATTTTGAGAATCAGGAGAAAGAAAAGTTGATGGAATGCAGTCTTCAAGTCATGGTGTATGTAACCCAAAAAATTTAAGATGATTCATTAAGGAAAAAATTATAAGCAAACAAAGCCTTAGTTTGGAGTGAGTTTTGTTGTTGTTGTTATTGTTGTTGTTTTACTAATGGGGATGTAATCAGAAAATTTGGGAGACCTCTCATTTAAAGAACCTTGCAAATCCATAATTTCCTGCTTTTTTGCATGTTGATCAAACAACAGAATTTGAGAATGTAGAAAAGTAGGATTTTGATGTAGTAGAAATGGAGAAAAAATACCAGCTTCCATTCATTTTCAGCTAAACCCTGTAAGAGTGATCACTTCTTTTCTACTGATTCTTCTTTGCAATCCCATTCCTTAACTGAGAATGTATGAAAGTTAAGAGAAATAGGTAATCTTCAATTTTCCATGCTGGTTTGTATACATTTACATAGGAGTAGGGGAGAAATGTATAAACTATACCAGTCCTTCAAACAGCAGAGAACTTATAAATGTATTCAGTGCATGATAATTCTGAAATATTTCTGAAAATATTCTTTTGATCAAATCAAAATAATATAAAGTAGCTATTTTGAAAACAATTGTTGATAAGAAAATGGAAATAAACATGTTTTGAGTTTAGGACTTCCATTAATTTACTTGAAATAGAAATAATACGGTCTATATTAAGGGTTTCTTTTTATTACTGATAACATACTACCTTGAAATGAATAAATAAAATAAGAAAGAAGAGTCTTTTCCTTTCAGTAAATGCCTTTATGAAAACATTGTCATTTCCCTAGGTACTCAATCTTCAGTAAGTTCTGATACACATAGTGCTTATTATTTTTTATCTTCTTTTATGGTGCTGGAAATTTAGTGTTTCTCACTTCTTTCTGTAGAATCTGAATTTTACAGGATTTCGAAAAATCCTTAAAAAGCATGACAAGATCCTGGAAACATCTCGTGGAGCAGATTGGCGAGTAGCTCATGTAGAAGTGGCCCCATTTTATACATGCAAGAAAATCAATCAGCTCATCTCTGAAACTGAGGTATAGTAATCTCACTCATATACCAAATATTTTCAATATGTTACATGTTTTACTTTTAATGAAATATTTCCTTCTTTTGCCTAGTCAGAGTGGCTCAGCAGTTGAGCATTGACCTAGGAACCAAGAGATCACCTGTTTGATTCCTGGTCAGGGCACATGCCTGATTGCAGGTTCAATCCCTGTTAGGGTGCAAACAGGAGGCAGCCGATCAATGTTTCTCATATCAGTTTCTCTCTCTCTCTCTCTCTCTCTCTCTCTCTCTCTCTCTCTCTCTCTCTCTCTCTCTCTCTCTCTCCTTTCTCTCTCTCTCTCCTTTCTCTCTCTCTTCTACCCCCCCTTACTCTGTCTAAAATCAATAAACATATTGTTGGGGAAGGATTAAAAATTTAATAATATGTCTTTTTAGGCTGTAGTGACCAATGAACTTGAAGATGGTGACAGACAAAAAGCTATGAAGCGTTTACGTGTTCCCCCTTTGGGAGCTGCTCAGGTTAGTATTTTTTTCCAGTTGTTTGGTTTTACCAATTTAATAATTAATACAATCTGTTTAGCTGATAAAATATACCTATTTCATTACTTTAAATAATGTTTCAAAAAATTTTAAGTAGTTAATACTTTTTTAAAATTTAAAAATTAGATAGCAGATCTCACTTCGTAATGAATTGTAATGTCTTCCCACCCATCTCTTCTTATCCTACATTTCTCTTGTTTATTTTTATTGACATGCTAACTTTGTTGTCTTACCAAAAGATGAGATGTGTATTTAATGATTGGGGTGTCAGATGTGCTGAACTACTATACAGCTTCATCCAAAATATAATAGTTATACCTAAAAAAAGCCTTTATTAAATGATATTTATTATAGCAAGAAACATTTAAGTGATATCTTCTATGTCATAAAACAAGTCTCAATAAACTAAAAAATATTTAAACCATAGCATGTATGTTCTCTGACCACAATGGAATAGAAATCAATAACAGAGCTTTCTTATCTCGTTCTTATAAAAGGCATTTATGAAAAACGTGCAACTAATATCATACTGAATGGTGACAACTGAATGCTTTCTTCCTAAGTACAAAAACAGATATTCACTTCTCTTCAACATTGTACTGGAGCTTATAGCCAGTACTGTCACATAAGAAAAAGAAATAAGAGGCATTCAGATTAGAAAGAAAGAATAAAACTGAAGGGTTTTTTTTATTGTTCATGACTTGATGACCTCAAAATCTAATGAATATAGATTAACTACTAGAACTAGCAAGTGAGTTTAGCAAAGTTGCTGAATCCAAGATCAATATATAAAAATCAATTATATTTCCACAGACCATCATGTACAGTTAGAAATGAAAAATTTAAAAATAATGCTACTTATAATTAAAATATGAAATATTTAGGTATGACAAAAGATTTTCAAGACTTCTAAATTGCACTAAATCTATTCTATAAGAAAATCAGAGTATATATAAATTGATGCTTAGAATTATAATTTTGTTTATTTAGTGACTCAGATTTCTATAAAAGAATTCAAATAATTGGCAACTCTATACTAGTATTATAGAATGATGAGGGATGATTCTCTGGTTCAGATTTCTAAAAATACAAATCATAAAATATTTTTATTTTCCTGATTGAACTTTGAGGTTCGTGCTACTGATTTGTGACAGCATATACTAAATGTACTTAATATTTTGCCCTATATCCCAAATTCTGTTTTTTCTGTCCACAGCCTGCACCAGCATGGACTACTTTTAGAGTTGGCCTATTTTGTGGAATTTTCATTGTACTGAATGTTACCCTTGTACTTGCCGGTAAGTAGTTTAAATTTTGAATTAAATTATGTTTTCATAATATGCATATGTCATACTCTGTTCTTTCGTCAAAGCTGCTAAGCTACTAAAGCTTCTGAAAGAAAAATCTGTAAGGCTGTTTCTTGTTCTTATAAATAAGTGGGGGTGGGGAAAGTCATTTGTTTATTCCCCCCCCCCCCCCCTTGGTTATATTATTTTTTAAAAGATGCTAGTTGATGACTACTTAGTCTCCATTATTTTTCAGTGTTTATGTACAATTTCTTCACATTTTTTCAGTGTTCAGTCATCAAGAACTTGATCACAGATGAGAGTAAAGAAGATATTACAAATAATGTACTGATTTATTTACTTTGCTTTTTGGACACTCTTTCACATCTTTTCCAGAATCTATTTATAATTACTTTATAGAGAATTTTAAGAAGTGTGGTTGTATAATTTCCTATTATATAGAACTTAAAAATTAGAAAGAAATAAAAGGAATTGCTAAAAGCAAGTGCATTCTCAACATCAAGAAATGACATAACAGCCCTAACCAGTTTGGCTCAGTGGATAGAGCATTGGCCTGCGGACTGAAGGGTCCCAGGTTCAATTCCCGTCAATGGCTTGTACTTTAGTTGTGGGCACATCCACAGTAGGGGGTGTGCAGGAAGTGGCTGGTCGATGTTTCTCTTTCATCATTGTTTCTCTCTATCCCTCTCCCTTCCTCTGTGTAAAAATTCAATAAAGTGTATTTTAAAAAAAAGAAATTATATAACAGTAACAGGCACAATCTTACTAAACCTCCCCCCCAAAAAACACTTGACATTATCAATCACTCCTTCTTAAAACTTTTTCTTAAGTAGATTTTGCTGAGAAATCATAATCTGCTGGTTTTTCTATTATACTTAGCTGACAGTTCTTTCCCAGTCTCCTTTGCTAGCTGTTTTTATCTTTTTCTTTGTGACATCTAAATGTTGGGAAATACTACTGTGCTCAATCCTCAAGTCTCTTTCTCTGTCTACATGCATTTCCTATCTAGGCAATCTTATTCAAACCTATGGCCATAAATATTATTTATATACTAGTGATTCCCAAGTATGTATACTCTTTTCTCTGAATGCTAATTGGTTACTTGGATGTCAAATAGGCATCTCAAAATTACGTGGACAAATTTCTTTTTACCCTCAAATATACTTTCTCTTTTATATAGCAATACCTTTCATCAGTTTCTCAGGCCAAAACCTTTAGCCTCTCTTTTCCTCCTTCATTTCCAATCCATCAGTTCTGTATTCAAAATAGATTCTGAATCTGACTACCTCTACCAGTGCCATCCTTAATATATTGCAATGGCCTTCTAAACTTGTCTTCCTTCAGTCATTTTTGCCTCCTGTAGCCACCATGGTCTTTTAAAAAAAATAAATTAGATCATATCAGTCTCCTCTTCAGAACCTAGTAACGGCTTCTCACAGTATAATTGAAATTTCACATTACAGTCTATAAAACTCTACAGGATCTCACCCCTCTGGGCCTTTCTGGCTTTACATCCTGTCATCCTTCCCACATCCAGTTTCACTCTGTTTTCAGTCACTCTTGTGTTATCACTATTCTTTGAATACTCCAAGCTCATTCCCATCTACAGGCCTTGCAATTGCCTAAAGGCTATCCCCCCCCCCCCCCCCCAGATGTCTATGCTTACTTCCTCACTTCATTTATGTACTCTCTATTCAAATGCCACCTCCCCAGAAGGCTTTTCCTGATCACCTCTAATAAAATAGCTTGTTCTTAAACTGTGTACCTATGGATGAGGACAATGGGGGGGTGAGGAGGGGGCAGAGGGTGGGGTGGGAACCTGGTGAAGGGGGGAAGAAATGAGGAACCTTTGTAATAATATGAACAATAAAGATTGATTTAAATTAAAAATAAAATAAAATAAAATATATCACACGGAAAAAAAATAATAAAATAAAATAGCTTGTTCTGTCCCTTTAGACTACATTCGTTTTCTTCAGAGTACTTTTAAGTACATGGCATAATATTTCATATTTATGTTTCTTGGTATCTGTTTTCTCCACTGGAATGTAATTTCCTTGATGCTTGGCCATTTTTCCTGTTTACAATTTTTATCGCTAGCACCGAGAACACTGCCTGGAACATAGTAGGGACAATATTAAAAAAATATTGGTGGAAGTTTGAATAGATGGAAAAGAAAGGACCAAGATGAAATTAAGTGATATACAAACATACATATTTGAGAAAGACACTTCTCAAACATTCTTTCATTTAGAAATGAAATTTATACTGGAAATTGATGGAATCAAAGACATGTCTAGAGAAGACAGAGGAGCAGAGATTTTAATTTTAGTTGGCCAGGTAGGGAATGGGACGTAGGAGGAGGAAGTGAGTTATGAAAAGAGAAGTAATATATTCACCTAGGGTAAAGAAGAGTATTATTAGATGACAAGGATGAAAAGGTAGCTTGAGATCAGTTCATAGAATTCAGTAAGAAGTGGACTAGTAAGTAAAACATATTTTTGGTTGCGAAACACTACATCAGTGTACATGGTGCATGTGTTGGGAGTTGTTTTTCAATAAGGATAACCTTAGTCATTTGTATGTGGAATTTTTTTTTTTCCCCAAGATGTATGTGGTATTATCGTCATCATTAAATAAGAACATAAGAATAAATAAGTGTCTTTATTCATTTTTATGTGAATGGATTGAGAAGAAGCTTTTTAAAATTCAGGGACAGGTTGAGGATTTTTTCTTTCTTTTGTAAATGTAGATTAAGTTTTGGTGAGACACTCAGTTGTTTTTATTGTGTGGTTTATGCATTTAGTGTTGTGATTATGTTCGCTCACCTCTGAGCCCTTCTTTGTTTGATCTTTGTGTTTGTATGGGGAGAGTCAGGGTAAATATAGTTAAAGCCAGCTGTCTATCCTTATTTATCTCCCAGCGGGTGCTTAAAAGATAACAGTGTTGAGAGAGAAACACAGCAGTAGTAATGCGTGTACAGGCATGATTCTTTTTTCAAACATTCACATCAGAAAAACTGTGTGCAAAATTCCTGTAGTTTCTCAAAGGGACATGGCCTGATATGTAATAATTTGTCTGAAATTTGCATATTTTTACTTTCATGAAGTTGAAAAATTACCTGTTTAGACTTTTTTATTTTTATTTTTATTTATTTATTTTTTTTGTTTAGACTTTTTTAAACTTCTCTTATAGATTTCTAATAACCTTATTTGATTCGGTAACAACAGATTTGTTCTTTTGCAGTCTGTCTTTCACATAACAGCTAGAGTAGCCCATTGAAATTATTAATCTGGTCATGTCACTTATGTGTAAAATTCATTGACTTCATACATCAGAGTAAAAGCTTAAATCTTGCCAACGTACTTCAAAGTCTGCCTTGATTTTCCCCTGGCTATCTTTTTACCACTTTACCTCTCTCTTACTAGTATTCCAATCATAGTGGCCTCGGCTTCTTCCTGTTTCTGGAGCACACCAGGCTCATACCTGTTGTCTGACTCTTTTACTTTCCTTTTACTTGGAGCTCTGTCCCTTCAGATATTCACATGATTCATTTTGTTTCCTTAAGGAAATGCAAATGACCTACAAATGTCATATCCTGATAGATCTTCTTGACCACCCTACCTAAAATAGCACCTAACATCATTCTTTATCTCCTTACCCTACATTTTTTTTACTTCAAAAAAAAAAAAAATCACTACCTGATATTATACAGAACACAAGTTTTTGGAGACAGGTATTTTGTCTGTTGTTCATTACTAAATCCCCAGCTCTTAGATTGGGCATAGGAGGAGGTGCTATAAAAACACCTTATAAATATTTGTCAAATTAAGGAAAAAATAAAGTTTTCTCAAGTAAAAAGGAAAAAAAAATCCCTGAGATATACTGAATGCTCTTAATTGCTTATTGTTTTAGTCATTTAATTTATGTTGTTCATAATTAATCCTCTTAAACTTTTAAGAATAGATATCCCCATTGACAAGGAAACTGAAACTTAGAAAAATTAAATTATTTGCCCTAGTGTAGCTAGGATGTGAAATTTGGTTTATTGTATTTGACTCCAAAGCAAAGCTTTATTCACTCTGTATTTTTAAAGTATCACATGTGCTATGTATAATACTTTAGAGAATACAAAGTTAAATACTAAATGATTATATTAACTGTATAAGGTAATATATAATTAAATATTAAATGACCGGTACTAATAGTACATTTTATAGTTTTTTAGAAAAATTGAGAAGTTGTTAGCCAAATTGAAATGTTTTACACATAGTAGGCTCAAAATGAAACATTGATTCAATGAATTTGTGAACAGATGAGGATCTGGCTCTTAAATAAGTAGAATTTGAATTTTCTGAAAGAAAGAGCAAGGCCATTTTATGTACAAGGGGCAATATAAGCTAATGTGAAACAAGAACTTATTAAAAGATAATAAAGTGATAAGAATTAAATTGTTTAGGAATACTGTGAGATAAATTTGGGAAAAATGAGTTGGAGATCAGATTGTGAACTTGAATTGGGAGTCTAAAGTGTTTAAGTGTTCTTAGAAAGCTATAGAATAATAGTGATACTGAACATTTATATGGGCAATAGTATATAGTGGTTAAGAGTGTGGGCTTTGAAGCAAAATTGAGTTAAAATCCTGACTCTGCCCTATACTAGATTATTAACCCTTAGAAAATTAACCTATCACTGCTCTAGTTTTTCTCATCAATCAAATAGCAATAATAGTTTTTAACTTACAGAACCATTGAGGAATAGATGAGTTATTATATGTAAAGTACTGGTCATGTAAAGTCCTGGGAACAATTGTTAGCCCATTGTAAGCATTCTATAAGTATTAACTGTTGTCATTTATATCACTTTTTAATTTTCACATTGCCATCATATGTACTATTTTCTTTAATTTTCATAGCAATTCTGTGAAGTAGGTATTACATATCCAGTTTAATGATGGACAAAACTAAACCAAAGAAGTTGTGTCATGCCAGAAATCTCCATCTGACATAACTGGTATTTTACCTTGGTTTTCTGTAATCTAAGAAACTAATGGAATGGTGGACTAATATACTAGTAGTCAAATTTTAGGAAAATTATTCTGGTGGGATTTTGCAGAGTGAAATGAAGATGGGAAATAATCTAGAAGCAAATTTATAGACTCTTGAGATAATCTAGATTTATATTTATTTATAAAAATTTCTATGCCAGGGCTGTATCATTGAGAATTAAGAACAAAGACATTAAAGGGGACATATATTCTAACTAATTAATTTATATTCTTTCAGCTATATTTAAACTTGAAACAGATAGAACTATATGGCCCTTGATAAGAATCTATCGGGGTGGCTTTCTTCTGATTGAATTCCTTTTCCTGCTGGGCATCAACACATATGGTTGGAGACAGGCTGGAGTAAATCATGTGCTCATCTTTGAACTTAATCCAAGAAGCAATTTGTCTCATCAGCATCTCTTTGAGGTAATCAAAGCAAGATATAAAGTCCCACAAATATAATTTTCTTAGTTATATAGCTGGTTTTAGTGGGCACTGAAATCCACCTGAGTAATGACAAAAATAAAATTTTTTTCTCTTTTTCTCTTTTCCATTCTTTATCAGATTGCTGGATTCCTTGGGATATTGTGGTGCCTGAGTCTTCTGGCATGTTTCTTTGCTCCAATTATTGTAATCCCTACATATGTGTACCCACTTGCCCTTTATGGATTTATGTTTTTCTTTCTTATCAATCCCACCAAAACTTTCTACTACAAATCCCGGTTTTGGCTGCTTAAACTACTGGTAAGTCCAAAAATTTGTGTATCAGTTTTAGAGAATTTACTATATTTGTCATTGGCTTCTTCCAGGATGAAACCTGCTTTATTGCCCAGCTCCAGAAGCACAATTCACATTGTAATCTGTGTGAGTGGCTCCCCAGCTCGAGAGTCAAAGATTACAATATGACTGGTACACCTGGTGTTATACAGTGCAGCATCTTTGGCAAAGCACAAATGCATTTTTCCCTCTGAAAATGGAATATGAAGTGTCCAGATATTGAAATGATTTTGCTAATTAATAATTAATTCATGATTAATTTAGCTCATTATTTAATCAGCTCTGATAACATGAAGCAATCTATAAATTTCCTTTTCTTAAAAAGTGATAAAATTGTTATTTTCCTGTTAAATTGATGTAAGTAGTCTACTGTTTTTATTTTATGAAAAATTGGTTCTCTAAAAGCAATAGAAATTGGTCACCAAGTTTAATTTGAAAAACTGACTAATTTTTGTTTAAATAAATTTCATTTCTTCTTCCACTTTATTTCTTAATGATTGCAAAATCATGTAGTCTCAGTATTAGGACATAGAATATAGTAATAGGGTATACAGAAATGGTAGCTATATTTTTTTTTTGTGATAGTGTAAAGTTAGTTCTGGGAAGGGACTTCTGCTTCCTAAATTAAACCAGCTCTATATTGAAAAATAAATTGGGAATGCTTTCATATAATTATTTCTTACATTATGAATTACAACTAACAGATAAAGATTAATGATTAAATCGACCAATCTCTATACAAACTTCAGAATTCCCATAATTATTGCCTTTTTTTTCCCACTTGATAAACTATACTTCCTTGAAAACTGTACTTTTTAAAAATTCAAATATATTTTATTGATTTTTATACAGAGAGGAAGGGAGAGGTATAGAGAATTAGAAACATTGATGAGAAACATCACTCAGCTGCCTCCTGCACACCTCCTACTGGGAATGTGCCCGCAACCAACGTACATGCCTTTGACTGGAATTGAATCTGGGACCTTTCAGTCCGCAGACCGACGCTCTATCCACTGAGCCAAACCAGTTTTGGTGAAAACTGTACTTTTTGTGTGTTTTTCCCTTTTGTATGCCCCTTAGGGTTAGGTTTTTTTGTTTTTTTGTTTTGTTTTTATTCTTAGCAATAAACTTTCCTATATATAGCTAGCATTAACTAAATTTTTTAAATCTAAAGACATAAAATATCGCCTTCCTATTTAAAAAAGTATAATAAGCATTCAACAAGTAAAAAGCAACCTGTGTTCGAATATAGATGAGTATTAATAGCAATCAGGAAAAGAAAATGGCTAAATCTAATTGATTTTCCCCCCAAAATTAGTTGATTTTTTTTTTTTTTGAGAGGCCACCCGGATCTGATTGTTTGTTATTTGTATTTCTTATTTCTTTTCCCACTAGAATTGAATTTTTGTCACAAATTGAGAACTCCCTCTTTTTCTCCAATTTTATTAAATATAAATAAATAAAAGAGCAAATAATTTATTTTAAGTATAGCACCATTATGCTTAATTTTGGGTTTGAATTCTGAGTATGGAAATTAGATGTACAAGAGTATTTTGGTAAGTTATAAGTATACCATTACCATTAATAGGTTTCATCATCATCTAGAACAGCAGTCTCCAAACTTTTGGGCCTCACGGACCAGCAGTGGTCCACGGACCATTAATTAGCGGCTACTGCTCCAAAGGTTTTCTTAAACCAGCCGTCACCAAACTTTTAGACCTCATGGATGACCATGGTACCCAGATCACTGGTTGGTGACTGCTGATCTAGAAGAAATAATTTGTAGAAGATTTTTAAAAGATAAATATTTGAGGATGTGTGGTGGAGGGGGTTAATGGGGAAAACAAACAAAGAGGGATATCTGTAATGCTTTCAACAATAAAGGGAGAAAAAATGCCATTTTTCTCCCTCTTGGAATCTATACTAAAATCATTTCCATGCCGGGACCGGTTTGGCTCAGTGGATAGAGTGTCGGCCTGTGGACTGAAAGGTCCCGGGTTCGATTCCGGACAAGGGCATGTACCTTGGTTGCGGGCACATCTCCAGTGGGGGGTGTGCAAGAGGCAGCTGATCGATGATTCTCTTTCATCGATGTTTCTAACTCTCTATCCCTCTCTCTTCCTCTCTGTGAAAAATCAATAAAATATATTAAAAATAAAAATAAAAAAATAAAATAATTTCCAGTGAGCACAATATTATTAGACTAGAGGCCCGGAACATGAAATTCATGCACTTGAGGGGTCCCTCAGTATGGCCTATGTTCTCTCGTAGTCTGGGACCCCTCAGGGGATGTCGACTGCCACAGAGGCAGGCGAGGCTTCTGCCACTACCGCTGCGCTCACCACCTGTGACCCTGGCTTCTGGCTAAACGGCACTCCCTCTTTGGGAATGCACTGACCACTAGGGGGAAGCTCCTGTGTTGAGCATCTGTCCCCTGGTGGTCAGTGTGCCTCATAGCGACTGATAGTTTGATCAATTTGCATATTAGCCTTTTATTATATAGGATTACCTTTCTTATTTTGAGATTTTATTACTAGATTTTGTGGATTTTTATAACTGTTATTTGCATTAAAAAAGTAGTAGTATTCTGTTTACAAGGATATAACTTTGATATTATAACCACCTATTGTTCCCTGCCTCAATTATTGTGAAATGTCTATATAGTTACTTTGAAATGAGGTTTGACTCAGAAAACTCAGGTATTAATATGACTGTTTCATTGCAATAACAAAGTAATACAGTTGTTTACATTGTGTTAAGAGAGCATTTCTCCCAGTGCATCGTTCTTTATTTAAATATTAAGCTATGATTCATGCATGACAAGTTACTCTTATTATCAGAATGATTCCCCATTGAGTAGACATGTATCTATGCATCTTCTATGTACTAATAAATGAGGACTTGTTGATGGAATAGGTTGGCAATGGTAATATAATAAGAAATAATAGAATAATAAAATATACTATCAGAATCATTAAAATACAGAAGGAAGTATTGTAATTCTTTATATTTGTAATAATTGTTACCAAGAATATTTTGAGATAATTTTAACATTAATTGACCTGTCAACTTAAATTCAAATCTCACTGAGAAAGCTTACTCTTAGACTATTTCTAGTAGATTTATAAAAATGTTTCTGCCATAGTTATATTTCTTTAATATAGCCTTTTTAAAGCCTCATCCTAAAGTAAAACTACAGTCATCACCATGACATTAGTGAAATGAAAGTGACTTTGGTTAGAGAAGAAGGCATGCTTCAAACAATAAGATGCACCATCTTTCCCTTTCTATCAATACTTCGTAGGCAAAGGAGAGCTTCGTATTCATTTAGCAAAGCTCCCATCCCAGCTAAGATGGGAGAATATTCCAGAAATAATCATAACACATGGATCTCCTGCAAAATTTACGTTAGAGCCTAATGTTAAACATTCTGTCAGTGCTTCTACTTTCTGCCACTCTCTGCTTTCAACTTCAACTCCTCACACCTCTCTGCTTTCTATTTTCTAACTATAACTATTTTGCCTTCCCAGCTTTATTTCCTTTCTTCATTTTGCATTCAACTCATTTCCTTCTGATGCAACTCATTCAACTTCTAATTCTCATCCTTGCCACTGTTGTCAGGTCGCTGTGTTTGTGATTGGTTCCTTAGTTTCCATTTTATCAGCTAAAGTAATCACATTAGGTGGTCACACATGAATTAGATAAATTTAATATGAATTTTCTTATTTTTCTGTCTTTCTTTTTCCCCCTCTTCCTCACAGTTTCGAGTATTTACAGCCCCCTTCCATAAGGTAGGCTTTGCTGATTTCTGGCTGGCTGATCAGCTGAACAGCCTGTCAGTGATACTGACGGACCTGGAATATATGATCTGCTTCTACAGTTTTGAGCTCAAATGGGATGAAACTGGGGGCCTGTTGCCAAATAATTCAAAAGGTAGAGTATGAATGCACATCCACACTACTGAACTGCCAATGCACACCAAGAAATATTGGAAATGATAACTAAGACATTTAAGATCATCGTGAAACGCATCCAATAATGTTACAAACTTAATTAAATGTACTTGGCACTTTTTTAGCAATCTTTTATCTGATTTACTTTGGCTCTTAAATTATATTCTGATTTTAGCCATTCATTTGCCAAGAGACTTACAACTTAATACTTAACGAATTCTAAAATTAAAAAAAAAAAAAGTCCTAGTACATTGGTATTTATGTACCAATGTACTAAATGCTTTAGTGCCAACAAATTGTTATCATGGTATTGCTTTTTAATGATCAAAAATATTTATTACTTAGAATTGAATCGAGTACTTTGAGATAGTCATTATTCTATTTTTTAAATCTTATATGGAATCTTGTTTTTCTTCTGGCTCTTTTTCCCACTCTTAGTTTATACTAAGAGTTCAGGTTATTAAGGAATTTTGCCTTAATAACAAACACCAAATTTAGATAGCTTACGTAACATCTGAGTAACAAAAGTTAATGAAGCCAGTGCCAACACATTTTCATTGATTGCCAGCAGATGACAACTATTGTAGATTGATCACATTCCCAGAATTTGAAGAAAAATTGATTTATCAATTCCTTCTCATTTAAGAGTCCCATGGGCTACCCACTGAGCTAGCCAATTCCTTCTCATTTAATAATATAAACTTTGCTCTTAGTTTTTTATAAAAAGAATACAGATGCATGAGCAACCTATAGTAGATATATTATAACTAGAGGCCTGGTGCACGAAAGTCGTGTACAGGAGGGGTAGGGGAGTTCCCTCAGCCCAGCCTCCACCATCTCCAATCTGGGATGCCTCAGGGATGTCCAACTGGCAGTCAGACATTCTTCTCACAATCTGGAACCACTGGCTCCTAACTGTTTACCTGCCTGATTGCCCCTAACTGCCTCTGTCTGCCTGCCTGATTGCCCCTAACTGCCCCTCGCCCCCAACTGCCCCCCACTCCCGCTGGCTTGGTTGCCCCCAACTGCCCCCCCTGCCAGCCTGCTGTTCAGTCATTTGGTCATCCCTCACTACCCCCCCTGCCTTCCTGGTTGCCCCACGCAGCCTGCTGTTTGGTCATCCGCCTGGTCATTTAAGTCCTGACAGCTCCTGGCTTTTTATATATTAGGACTAATAGCTCTGCGGCCCAGAGGCCCATCTGAAGCCAGGCACAGAATGCTTGCCTCGTCACTGGGGTGACGACGCAAACGTTCCCCCAATTCCCTGCTGCTCCGTGCCCACTGCCCAGAGGCCCTCCACAGCTGGGGTGGAATGCTTTCCACGTTGTCCTCGTGGCGATGAAGCAAGCATTCCACTAGGCCGCTCACACTGCCCACTCTCAGCAGCTGCCCCCTCCCCCCGGACTGGGGAACTCTGGCAGGGCTGAGAGGACTAGGCACCGCCATCTTATGGCTATTGATGCTGCCATCTTTGTGATAGAGTGACAGTTAATTTGCATATTACCCTTTTGTTAGATAGGATGGTTTGGAGTTCATGAAATTGACTGGTGTCATCAGTGATATTTGTACGTTTTCCTGGTATTTGAGATACAGAGCTAATTTTTTCTTCTTTGACTAATATACTCAACTTCTAATTCTATTATGTTTTTATCACACTCCAAAGAAAGTGATTCCAGAAGAGAGTCAGAAACTTGTGAGGGCAGGTTTTCCCACTAGGTCCTACCTAAGTATTTTATCTTCTCTCCTAGTGGTCCTTACCAATAAAAAATTTGAGACTAAAATAGTTACAAAGAAGAAAGTGGTTCTGAAACTCAGGCTCTTTTCTTTCATGGGCTTGCTAGTGGTTATAGTATATGACCAAATGATGTGAACAAGTTATTTTCTTAAATTGTAATCTTTTCTTCTTTGAAATTTTCACAGAACTAGAAATTTGCCACAAATATACATATGGTGTTCGGGCCATTGTTCAGTGCATTCCTGCTTGGCTTCGCTTCATCCAGTGCCTACGCAGATACCGAGACACAAAAAGGGCCTTTCCGCATTTAATTAATGCTGGGAAATACTCTACAACTTTCTTCATGGTGACATTTAGAGCCCTTTACTTCACTCACAAAGGTATTCTATGATTGACTCTAAAGAGATTTTTAAAAACCCTTATTTTTACTACTTGAATCTTTTCCTTATTCTGCATGCTTTTCCAGTTATTGTGTTTTTTTACACTGAAATTCTAATCCCCTCAGCTATACAAGTTTGTTCTTGAATTTTAGTCTTATTCCAATATTTACTAACAAATACCATTAAAAAGAATCAATGTCATCTGGAATGGAAGGATTTGTGATAACATTTAAAATCCTGAATTATGGTTAATGGGTTCAATCTATATGAACACCTTTGGTTTTCATTTGTTTTTTTAGACTTGTTCATTAATGAGGTTGGGAAATGCTAGGTGGAAAAGAGTCCCTCTGGCAATCATGTATATTTTTAATCACTTTCCTTCACCAAGTTGTAAGGAGTGTTTCCAGCCCATTTAACTGCAAATTGAGTTCTCTGATCTCTCTAGTTTCTTATCTCCATGGCAACCAGTTATTACTTGAGACTGCTCTTCTGCTGGGAGAAGAAAAAAGCTTTTAGTTCTGAGCCACATGCAGTCACAGCTTTTGAATTTTTAACCTTTTTTTTTGAAGAACAATCAAAGATCTTGCTTCCTTTTACTAAAATGTATTCTTCCTTTGTCTATTTAAATAAGTATCAGCCCATACCTTAGATCCTGCATTCTTGCATCAATTGATGGTAAAGAAATATTACTAATTAAAATTATTACCATTATTTTAAAATAGTTCGATAATTTTTTTTTTGTAAAACTTTTTTCATTAATTTTTTTTGAAACACTGTATTTTAGGACCCTTAGTGTTTTCGAATTGCTACTTATCTAAAGTCTGTCTAATGGTCATGAAGATTAAGGTATTGTTTTTTGTTTTTTGTAAGGCTTGCAATTTGGTCCTTAGAACATTTTATGACATAGTTGCACTTAATAAGGAAGTTTTTAAAACTATATATTTTTATTGATTTCAGACAAAGGAAGGGAGAGGGATTGAGAGATAGAAACTTCGATTCCAACGGCTGCCTCCTGCACGCTCCCTACTGGGAATCGAGCCTGCAACCCGGGTGCCCAAACCGGGAATCGAAGTGGTGACTTCCTGGTTTATGGGCCAACACTCAACCACTGAGCCACCACCAGCCTGGTAACATATTTGCAGTTTTTTTGCAGTAGATTCTGTGATTACAGTACTATTTTGGTAATGTAGCCAATAACCTTTATTACTATGTTACTATGTAGGCTCTCTTGTTAGATGAGAATTTTAATTACCTCAATGATTGAAACACCTTTACAATACTCTTATAATTTTAACTCTTGATGAGGAATGCTATTATTCAGTTCAGGCATGCATCAAGATTTAGTTTTTACTAGAGGTTATTACTAGAGAATTTGTAAATCAGACAACTAATTTGATAAGTAGTACTGTATGATTCAAGAACCCTTTCCGGATAAAAATAGTATTGGTACCATCAATTTATTAAGAAACTGAAAAACTGAATTTCTTAAATCTGCAAGCACTCTAAATCTAAAAACCTAAGGCTAGAAATAATAGTTTGCATAGTATTATGGTCTTCAAGCTTTTTTTGCTCATGTATCCCTTCAAATAATTTTTTAAACTATAATTTTACTTTATTATTTTAAATATTATTCAAACTATATTACTTATTGGGTATTTTTAAGTTCACACCTGAAATTTTTTATCTTAAGTTTAAATAATAACAAAAAAATGTATTGCCAGTGTACTTTTCAAACAAAACTGCTAAATGTTTCTATTAAATGTACTTTACTTTAATGTAATATATTTTTATGTTTTAATGAATTTTGGCTGATATGAATATAGAAATTAAAAATTTTCTTCCTGTTATAATTTTCATTGCCCTGATTATTATCTATAGTTGATCAAAATAACATTATAAATGTATTACAAATTTTAATAATTGTTACACATAAAACTCTTTATGAAAGAAATTTATATTACTTGTTACTATTGCATTTTTCAGTTTTTAAATAAGTAAATGCTGAGAAACTTTAACATAGGTATACACATGAGAATGAAAGTTTTGTTGCAGTGTCACTCAATGTTTTTGAACAAATCTTGAGTTTTGTGATAAAAAATTGCATAGAAGTATATCATCAATAATTATTTTTATTTTTAGTGATCTCTCAAAGATTTTTTGTTGAAAATAAACTGAATAAAGTAAGGCATTGAACATAAACTGAAAAAAAAAAGGATTTGCTAACTAGTCACTTGAGTCATTCACTTTCTGTTTCTGGACAGTCTACCAAAAAGTTTGAATAGGATGAATCATATGATACTTAATTTTAGAGACTCCCTGGTTAGCCAAACATACTCAAGTACAATTAGGAAAATAAAATATTATTAATTTCAGTAATGTTTGTCCATGCAGTATTACTTTTAAATGTATTTTTGAAAATAAGCCTTGGAATTGCAGTTTACACTCATCAAATTTATAGAGACTATCTGTCATATACTACTACCCTAATTAGAAAACCAAGTTCTGACTTAGAATGAACATATTTATATATACTCCTATGTAAACATCTCGCTTCTCAGTACTAAGTTGGGTGGGTAGGTGGTGCATAGAGAGAGAAATTAAACAAGCGCCACTTAATATTATTGAGAATATTCTGAGTCAGGTTGTGCTAGATACTAAAAATAGAACTACAAACAAAACAAATTCTTGCCCTAAAGAATTTATAATTTATTAGGAGAAATAATCCAGTGGAAAAGAATAAGTTGGTTGCACGACAATGTGATTATATGTAAAACTTCTGAACTGCACAACTTAGAAATGGTTAAGATGGTAAATTTTATGCTCATGGTTTTTTTTTTTTTTTTTTTTTTTACCATGATAACTATAATTTTTTGAAAGACATTAAAATAAAGGATAAAGAGATAAGCAAGGTACCAAAACAACCTACAATACAGTACATGTCCCTTGCCCAGCCTGTAGGTCTCAGGATGGGAAGTACAGAACTGATGTCCCAGAGGTTAAACTATATCCTATTGCTTATATTGAATTATGGAGGATTCCAGTTATCCCATTATGTGTTTTGTGCAAGGCCATGTAATTTGTGAGTGCTGGAAGTATTCTGTTCATCTTTGGCCTAGGGCTGTTTGGGTTTTTTTCCTCTTCTCTCCCCAGACAAAGCCACACCTTTAAAGTGTAAATAATAATGTCTTTTTGTTTACTTAACCATTTGAAAGGATTAAATAAGGGTGGTAATTCATTTGAAATCACTTTATGTACTCTAACTTAATTATGCTACATAATTGGAATTTATCATTAAATGAAATATAGTTATCTTTGCTGTATAGATCTGGCATATTTGTAAGTCTTTCTAAAAGAAACCCTTATGATCACCCTGGGTGGGGAGCTTGTATAAGGCAAGTATCAATTAGGAATGTATTTGGCATTATGTACTAGTAACACGTTTTACTCACTGAAGTTGATTCATGTGCCCCAGACAAATTTTTTAAAACACAAGCATTTTTTAGACAGGCCATTGGTTATATATCTTAATCATATCCCTAAATTTAAATAAAAACTGTTTGTAGTTGCTACATATTAAATATTTTTATCACTTTTTTTTTCCATCCCAAAAAAGCCTAAAACAGAAGGGGAAAATTTGAAAAGGTAACTCAGAGGGACCAATGATAGAAAATTTAACATTGAGTGCTCAAAAGTAGTATTTGATTTCTGTTGTTTTCTTGGGCAGTATTATAAGAGAAAAGGCACCAGAAAACATAAACTTTGGAAAAAAATTATTGGGCCAAAAGAATAGAATCTGTATGGTTAATGAGGTAAATCTTTTTCTATTGTGTATGTGTTATTATTGCAAAGGATAAGTTTTATGATGGAGGAAGGGTAGAAGACGGTGAAGTAACCTTGTTCAAATTCTGAGTCTTTTCAGGGGATTAGCCTAAAAGAGGTACCATAGTAACAACATCAGGGAATTTTCAAGATACTATTTTAAAAAAAAATTTTTTTAAAGTTATGTAGGCCAAAGAGTTTATTTTTTCTCCCCATGGATATTTAATTTCTTTATTAAGGTATTACATATGTGTTCTTATCCCCCATTACCCTCCCAATCCCTCCACTCCCTGTTATCTGTGTCCATTGGTTAGACTTATATGCATGAATAAAAGTTCTTTGGTTGATCTCAAGATATTTTTCAAAGACATATCTTAGTTTGTCCTAGCCAGTTTGGCTCAATGGATAGGTCGTGAGTTTGATTCCAGTCAAGGGCACATAAAGTTGCAGGTCAATCCCCAGCCCCAATTGGGGCACATGTGGGAGGTAACCAATCAATGAGTCTCTTTCACATCAATCTTTTTCTTTCTTTCTGTCTCTCCCTCTCCCTTCCACTTTCTCTAAAAATCAATTGAAAAATATCCTCAGGTGAGAATTGACAACAGCAAAAAAAAAAAAAAAAAAAAAAAGATATGTCTTAGTTTATCTGCATAATTTGTAAAAGTAGAGGCACAAGAATGAATTCTGTATCTAGAATAATTTTTTAAAACATGAGGAAGGTGGTTTAGGCCCATTTTAGGCAGTCTGTGTATGATGATATTGCAGGTAGCCCTTACTTGTTGCATAAGAAGGGAACACATTTTAAACATTTCAGTAAATTTTCTTTTTCCATCATTGATTTTAGAAAGCAAAAGTTTAGCTAAGCAAAGATTTAGCTAGCAACCAATCTCCATATTTTAAGAATTCACATTTTATTACAAGCCTAAATTTGATGCCAACTCCTACAAATTTTTGTTGGATTTGGGATTGGAAGAGACAGAAAGTGTTTTAAATGGTTTTGTGTGTCCTTGAGGTTTTTGGCTTTGGCAAGGAAAAGTCTGTGGGAGGTACAATAATAGAAAAGGCCATTGTGTTGTCATTCCTAACTCATTGATGGGGAGAAAGTGCTTCATTAGATTTTCTGTTTTTCATTTACAGTTTCTAATATTCTAAAACATCCATACATTCTTAGTGTATTTTACTCTTTATTGTTTTCCAAATATAAAGAAGAAAAAAACTTCTTTTAAAAACACTTCATAGTTTATTTTAAATTTTATTGGTAAAATATGCTAACAAGCATTTGCTATTAGACTTCTAAAAATACCTGAGAAAAACAGAAGATATTCTCTGCTGACTTAAAAGCTGAGTTCATTTATGTTTGCTTGTTGTTTTTCTAGTCCCTTCTAGATCCCTTCTTGTTTAATATTCTGGAAGAGTGCTATGCTCCCTAATAAGGATTCCTCAGCAGTATTCAAGTGCCTTCAGTGCCAATAGTCATTTCATTGTTTGAGTGAGCACACATAGTCCTGAAGTGCTTCCTTTCTGGGGGTATGGCCAGTTGGTTACCCTATTTCTACCTTGAATATGAACTATGTCTGAATTTCCAAATTTTCGTCTTATTATACATATAATTGAAACACTCATTTTAAAAATATTCTCTAGGGAAACTTTTATTAATTTTTTAAAAGACATACATTCAGGTAAATGTTTTTATTTTTGGCTTATTATTGAAAGTATCTCAAATTTTTAATGTCTGCCTGGCTTGCCCTGACAATAAATGTAATGATCACCTGAGAAGGGATAATACATATAACCATATGTATTAACTAAAATCACCTAAAGATCAGGGAAGTATCTATACTCATTAATTTTCAGAAGCCATATTGTTTTCATAATTTAGTGGTTTGATTATTTGGGCAATAAGAATAGAACTAAGATTTGTTGGGTGCCAAACTCATTCATAACTCAGCTTACCTATGTATCTTTGGGCTTTGAAAATGGTGTTTCTTATTTAATTTCAAATTACAAACTAATAAGCTATTACCAAAGTAGAGAAGGTTGAAAATAATACTATTCACTTTTTCTTCACACATTGCCACTTCTTTTACTTTTAAACCCTGAAGTATGGTTTAGGGTGACTTCCATGTATACTTTTTCTGGTTTCTGTCTTAGCACTTTTCCTGGCAAATTATTTTGCTTTATCTTTCCTATGATGGCTGTGAATACAAAACTCGAGGAAATATTTTTATTTGTTTTAGATTCAGTAGATGTCATTACCATAAATATGTTTAATGTGAATTATGCTTCTAACATGGCAGGTGCATTATAGAAGCTCAGGGGTAGAATAGTAATGACTTGATTTTCTGTGATTCTGAACATCATTAAAGTAGGCTACCGAGTTTGCCAAGAGAGAATTAGATATAATTGCTTGCCTAAAGTGATAATATTTTTCCAGTACATCTTCTGAATCCCAATGAAGGCAGATGATTTCAGGGGGAAGCACTCCTCATTTGGGAGTTGGGAAAGATCAAATAAGGGTAATAATTAAAAAGAGACCAAAATGTAGCTAGCATATTTAGACCAGGTGTTTGTTAATCATTGTTTGAAGAGGTTCGTAAGATAAAACATTACTTATCACAAAATATTTTGTTAAAAACATTTATTTTTTTTTAAAGTAAGCCCTCGTGTATGTTTTATAGAAATAATATAGTCTTAGAAAGGAGGGAGGTATTTGAATCATTGTACCATTTTAAGAATTGTACTCTAAGGATGGGGCTTGTATTTAAAAATCTAAGAGAAATTAAAGAAAATTAGCACATTGCTTTTACATTTCCCCCATAATCTCCTTTTTTAGAAAAAAATATATTTTATTGATTTTTTTACAGAGAGGAAAGGAGAGAGAGAGAGATCTAGAAACAGATGAGAAACATCCATTAGCTGCCTCCTGCACCTCCCCCATCCCCCCCCCCCCCCCACACACACACACACTGGAGATGTGCCTGCAACCAATGCTCTTCTTTTTTTTTTTTTTTTTTTAATATATTTTATTGATTTTGTACAGAGAGGAAGGGAGAGAGATAGAGTTAGAAACATCGATGAGAGTCATCCATCAGCTGCCTCTTGCACACCCCCTACTGGGGATATGCCCACAACCAAGGTACATGCCCTTGACCGGAATCGAACCTGGGACCCTTCAGTCCCCAAGCCGATGCTCTATCCATTGAGCCAAACCGGTCCTGGCCCAATGCTCTTCTTGATCGGAATCGAACCTGGGACCCTTCAGTCTGCAGGCCAGTGCTCTATCCACTGAGCCTAAATGGTTTCAGCCCATAATCTCCTTTTATACAATAATTTGAACTCTTTGATTTTAGTAATTAGGAAAGAAAATCTGCTTTCATTAATATGACTTGATATTACTTACACTTATTTGAGAAATGCTCATTTTGTTACTTCTTGATGAATGTATCTTTTATTGTATTCTCAATTCATTACTTTTTCTAGCAAACAAATTGTTGTGTAAAGTAAATGAGATGTTATATGTAAAACACTTGGCACATAGTAAGCATTCGATTTTAAAAAAGAGTTGCAAACACTGTGTAATTTACAGCTAAATCTCTTGTGTTGATCTGATTTTGAAAATATGAGAAGAGTATGGATTTTAAGTTGCTAAGTTTGCTTTATTCCTTGCAAGCCACAGTAGATGAGTTACAGGATTTTTTTAAAATGCAACCATGATGCTAATAATTGAACTGTATTACTAAGCTAGACCCCCACTGTCAGTAGAATGAGGTAAACAGGTATGTCAGAACACATCCAACTACACCTAAATAACAAAAAACAAAAACCCTTTTGATAGGCCTTTAAGTTGATGACTCATATTATACAATGTTGTAGTATAAATATTCAACCCAATTTGCTTTTGATGGAAAAAAGTTTTTGTGGAAGTAATTTAAACCTGAAAATCTATTAATTTTTTTTAAATCCAAGTTTGATTTGTTCACTAGAATCCCTTGTGGACTATTTTAAAAAATACTCATTTCTTTTCCCTACCACTCACTTCCCAGGAGAAACTGATAGTGCACTAATTTGCAGTGCTTGCTAATTTCCATGGTATAAATACTTCCACCATAGACAATTTCAAGCTATTAGGATGATAAGATTGAACGTTGAGAAAAAAATACGTAATGTTGTATAGTATTCTCATCATATAGATAAACTAAACATATAACCTAAAAATAATAATAGTAAAATTTAGTAAGATTATTAGGAAGTGGCCTTTGTTTTTAATATAACTAATTGCAAGTTTATGTAATTCAATTTTTAATAATGACTGTGTTTACCAACCAAACTTAGTTTTTGAAAATTTAACAATTGGTTCTCATGAACTGATAAAAACTGACTACGCAACACTGGAGTTCTGAGATATCTGTGTGTTTTTTTTAACCAACTAATTCTGATGCAAGCAACCTGCCAAACAGTTATTTTTCTAAAATAAAGTTCTGATCCGAAGGTCCAAAAAGGCATTCACCGTTAAATACAAAATATTTTCTCCTGCCTCATTTCAACTCATACCCATCCCTACGCCTTCTGTGTTTCACCCACACTAGGTTTAGATTATTTGCAGCTTCTCAAACACACCTTGCACTTTCATTATCTTCCTTAAGCCTTGAATGGCCTTGCCTCATCAGCCTGACTTTTGCAACATTATTTGTTTATCCTTCTAGAAATAACTCAAATGCTACTTCCTCTGATTTCCTACTGTTGGAAACACTCCAATTCTCCTTGAAGTTCTCAGAGTACTTTATAAACAATTCATTTTGAGCTCAAATTATCATCAGTAACAAATGGTTCACTTACTAGATTATAAGTGGCCAAAGAGTGTCTTTGAATCATACTGTACTTAACACTTTAATACCTGGAAAATTATTAATAAACATGTATTTATTTTAATAGAAAGGATTGTAGATAGTGCATTTTACATTTTTTATTTTCTATGCCTTGGGAAACTAACCAAAAGTTTAAACTTTTTGAATGAGATGTTTTGTCTTTTTTCCCCCTGATGACTCAGGACCATACTAGTAGTTATATGCCTATATCCTAAAGAACACAAATAATATCATGATGACTCTCAAACTTAACAGATAATTTCTTAGAGAACATATGAAGCACTAAGACAGAAAAAAGACTAAATTGTATAACTATATTTGCAAATTATTTTTATTATTCTGATTTAGTGTACTTTATATTATTTTCAGCATAAAGCCAAAAGTTACTTTATGGTATTCCCAGCATAAAATCACATTGGGCCTTTGTATCAATAAATACCTCTACAAGAAGTAAAATATGCTTTGCTTTGTGACTTGAAAGAAATTTGCTTGTATACATGTTCTTAAAGATATATTTCTCATCAGTTGGTTGCTTTCTGGTATTTTATCTAGAAAATTGTCTCATTGTCATCACAGTTAGTATTAACAAGATCTGAGTGTATGAAGGTAATATTGTAAAGTAAAAACAATCTAAGAATTTTTTTGACGCAAATGCAATGCATTCTTTGTTAAATGGTATTTTATCTTTGACTCTAAGCTGCCACCTTATGGCAAAAATTAAAATAACACCTTTTGTAATCTCAAAAACCTCCATTGCAATTATTTAGATTTTTTTAATGTATTTAACATAGTAGTTCCAAAATTCCAAATGCACATTTGTACAAGGTTTTTGACTCTGACAAGTGTTTGATGGTTACTTTGGACTTCAGGAAAATCAGATTTTTGTATTTAAGCTTTGTGAGACAATAATCCTACTAGGAGGATTTGTTTAAAATCTTACATCCTTTATAGAACTGTATAAAGAATCTATTCTTTAGCTTTATTTAATGAAGAATTTACTTTGAGTAATTTTCCCTTTCTCTTTTCTTTCTTCAGAACAAAATCACTCAGACACCAGGGTATTCTTTTACCTGTGGATTGTCTTTTCTATCATCAGTTCCTGCTATACTCTCATCTGGGATCTGAAGATGGACTGGGGCCTCTTTGATAAGAATGCAGGAGAAAACACCTTCCTCCGGGAAGAGATTGTATACCCCCAAAAAGTATGTACAGTGTTTGTGTTTAAGAAAACAAAACCTCAGGTGTACCACCAGCTAAATCCCATGCAATAGGTACCAAATCCCAACCTAATTTAATTATAAAAAATAACTGTTGACTAAAAAATACTTATTTGGTTATCAAAAATGTATCAAGTTGTTTACTATATGCTAAGCACTGGAAAAAATGAAAACAGTAAAATTCTGGTTTTCAAAGAGGCCATGGACTATTTTATATATATATATATATATCTCGGATCTAGTAATAATTAATGTCGTTTTTAACATTCGTTTAAAATCTTGCTTGGCGTTGACTTGTATTGACATAACCTTCAAACACGTGGTATCTACAGAACGTGTGAAGTGCAATTTAACAAGTTTTGCTTGAAAAAGTTTGTGTTTGGTTTGGTTTTTGTTGCAAAACTAGGGCTAAGAAGATGGCGGATGAAGAGCATATTTGGCACTGCATGCTTTACGAGTTCCAATTAGGAAGAAAAGCAAGTGAGGCTGCAAAAAACATCTGTAGTGCTCTTGGTCAAGATGCAGTTAGCGCCAGAAAATGCCAGCGTTGGTTTGAGAAATTTCGCGAGGGAAATTTTTCGTTAGATGACAAGAGTGGTCGAGGCCGTGTGTCCAATTTTGATCAAGAAGCTCTTCAAGCTCTTTTGGTGCAAAATCCTCAAATTACCCAACAAGAGCTTGCGACAACTTTAAATTGTTCACAAAAAACAATTTCCAATCAATTGCGTGCACTTGGCAAAGTACAAAAGTTTGGAAAATGGGTTCCTCATGAGTTGACCGACAACAACCGTAATCAAAGAGTCACAATTTGCAGTTCGCTCCTCTCTCGTCAAAACCGTTTACCGTTTTTAGAGCAAATTGTTACCGGAGATGAAAAATGGGTGCTGTATGTTAATTTGAAAAGGCGGCCTCAATGGTTGGACAAGAATGAGGCTCTGCAGCCCACGCCAAAACCTGACTTGCATGAGAAAAAAGTGATGTGTGTTTGGTGGAATTTTAAAGGAATTCTTCATTATGAACTTTTACCATCTAACCAAACCATTACAAGTGCAGTGTATAGTGCCCAATTGGAAAGGTTAGCCCAAGCTTTAAGAGAAAAAGAACCCGCGCTGATTAATCGGAAGGGCGTAATTCTTCACCACGATAACGCACGACCGCATACTGCAAGAATCACTGCTGAAAAACTGCGCCAGTTGGAATGGGAAGTTCTCCCTCAACCTGCATATTCTCCTGATATTGCCCCTTCCGATTACCATTTGTTTCGTTCTTTGCAAAACTTTCTTGGAAAAAAATTTAATAATGAAGAATGCCTCAAAAATGCATTGACCGAATTTTTTGCATCAAAATCACAAGAATTTTACAACAGAGGGATTAAAATGCTTCCTGAGTGTTGGGCACAAGTAGTAGAAAACAACGGCAACTATATTGTTGATTAAATTTTGTTGTATTGTTTAAATAAATTCGATTTAAAAAAAGGTATTAGAAAACGACATTAATTATTACTAGACCTAAAAATATATATATATATATATATATATATATATATATATATATATAGAGAGAGAGAGAGAGAGAGAGAGAGAGAGAGAGAGAGAGAGAGAGAGAGCGAGCGCGCAAATTAGGCCAGGGCCCTGGAGCTAGAGAACATGCAGAGGGCCTGGCCCCTAGCTCCAGTCCTGCAGCCACGTCGCTGGGCTGCTGGGGCCGGAGTGGAGATACAAACCTGTAGGGGGGCCGGGTTCAATTCTGATCAAGGGCATGTATCTAGGTTGCAGGCTTCTCCCTGGCTGGGGCCCAGGTCAGGGCTCATGCAGAAGGCAACCAATCAAAGTATGCCTCTCACATTAGTGTTTCTCTCTGTCTTTCCTTCTCTCTTCCATACTCTCTAAAAATCAATGGGAAAATATCCTCAAGTGAGGACAAAAAAAAAAGAAAAAAAAAAAAGAAATGTCATATCCTATGAAAGAGACATCTTGAAAATGCCTAAAGAAAGTTGTCATTTTTTTGTAGTGAAGGGATTGGAGTCCGTGTGGATGAAAACACCTTGACGGCTGCAGGGCTGGCAGTGATGGCAGCAGCGGGGTGATGGGCGGGATGCCTTCCCGATTAGCCTGGTTGCCTCCCGAAGTCTAAGCCTTCAGTAGGCAACCCCCTGAGGGCTCCTGGACTATGAGAGAGGGCAGGCTGGACTGAGGGACCCTCCCCCTCACAGTGCACAAATTTCGTGCACTGGGCTTCTAGTAAACAAACAGATTGCAATACCATGTAATAAAGACTAAAATAGAGGAACAAATAGCTTACTGTAATTTATGATTTATTTTTGAGCATGCAGTTCCCTCCACTCAAATGCCCTCTATCCCCTTTGTCTGCCTACCAAACTCCTGTTTCTCCCTTTTAAAAGTCAGTTTTAGTTTTAATTTCTCTCAGAAGCCTTTCTTTACTTCTCTAAGCATATTTAGCTATTCATCCTAATCCCATTTTATGCTCTACAAACTTCAGTGTAGCAGTTGCCACGTTGTATTATTTGGTTAAGTATACGTATCCCTCACTGCCCTGCAGAGTTTCTGGTATATAGTAGACTTAATGTTTGTGGAAAGAAAGTATAAATACCTGACTGAGTGAGCAATACTGTGAAAGCACAGGAAAGGGATTGCCTGAATGCTTGGTGCATCTAGAAAGCTTTTATTTTTTTCAACCAACCCTTGTTAAGGTGCCAATTCAACCTGAAATATATGGGAGAATTCTTCAGGAATTATTTTAGGCTTCACATATATATAAATGAAAATATGAGAGGCTGAATTAAAGAGTCAAAAGATCAAGAGTATTTTTACACAGATATTGAAAAGAAATTAAATAATGAACTGGGAATCCTGATAAGTGAATTCTAATCCAAGCTCACTCTCTAGCTATATTACTCTAGGCAACTAGACTGTAGTGTATTATCTTCTGTAAGACAGGGTGTTACACTAGGTTATCTCTTGATTTTTTCCTAGTTCTAAAATTCTGTAATGAGGAGGAAAGTATAGATTAATCACTAATAATTTATACTATGTCAAAGTGTCACTAATACCTCAAAATGGTACTTTGAAAAATGTGTGAATATGTAATATTCAGTTGGGATTAGGGAAAGCTGTTTTCAAGTGTGAGAATTTAAGAAAAATGATAAGAGAGTGGCTATAAAAATGATGATATGTAGTGTAACCAGATAAGCAAATGAAGGCAGAAAAGGAAATATTCGTTGACACTGACCTTTTTTTAATGTAAACTGTAGCAATAATCCCAAGTTGCAAACTTAGAATATAGGACCAAGATGGTAGACATATCTCCATAAATCTCCTTTGAAAAGAAAATTATAATGGTAAGCACAAGTCAGAGAGCAGACATGAGCTCAGGTAAAAATGGTCCTTTGTTGCCCACCAAATTAATATGGTCTTATTGCTCCTTTTATTGTTCTTACTTTACTGAGAGATAGAATAACACATTTCTTTATTATGCTGAATACACAGATGTACTATTTGTCTCTTTATGTAAATGTTAATCCATTTCTCCTTTTAAATCTTAACTTACTGGTTTCTGTGTAATAAAATTAGTGAATAGAATCTTTCAATCAGCTTATTATTACATATTTTCAGGACCCTAGAAAATAAAATATATGCTTTTCTACATAATATTTTGCAAATTTGCCACATCTCGTTCAATTTTAAAAAGGTAAATTTTGGATTTATTCATTCTACTTGAAAAGGGAAGAAACTATTTGTGGAGAGCAGTGGAGCTTCATTTAAAAATTAAGAACATGGCTCTGAACCTTAAAATCAGTTCCTAGGGGTTAACATTGAATAATATTGAGCACCACATGCAGTCCCAGGAAGCACTTAGTTATTTAAAGAGCTAATTATATAGATATTAATAATGAGTGAATCCATGAATTATGGTTCTGGTCTTTTGGCAATATGTACAGACTTCTGTAGCTAAAACTGGACTCCTTGCTACTGGGTACCAGTATCTGGAACAACTGGTTAGCTGAGTGCTGTTTTCCTCATGTAAAAATGGAACATTATTTAACTTCTACCATGTTTGTGAAATCCAAGCCTAATTTCATCTCCTTCAAATATAGGGTAAAGCAGTTTGAAAATGCAAGTGCATGCCCTGGCTGGTGTGACTTGGTTGGTTGGAGCATCATCCCATGCACCAAAAATTGGCAGGTTTAAGTTCCAGTCAGGGAACATACCCAGATTGTGGGCCCCTGCAGGAGGCAACCAGCCGGTTTCTCTCACAGAGATGTTTCTCTGTCTCTCCCTCTCTCTTTCTTCTTTTCTCTAAAATGAATAAAAAAGAAATTACAAATAGCACAGTTAACAAATTTTAATCTTTTCTAATAGCTGTTGAGTCACTAGCATATCAAATACATATTAGAATGTCATCTCATTCAGATTGAGGATCTCATCTGGCTTCTATTCCAGGGGTCTAGAAGAGAGCCTGGTATACAATATGGGAATGAAAATATATTTGTTAAATGACTACTAAAATTTAGTTAAATTTCATCTTGAATATTGCACCCTTTAAGAAAAGAAATTAAATTTGTGGAATCTTTTAAAAATATAAAATAGAATAAAACTCTCTTTCTTCCTGAACCTGTGCTTGTTGGTAAGGTGTGTGTGTCTCGTTGCTGTGATAGGTATGCTTATTTGTGAGAAACATGATGGTAGGTATACTCAATTTGCTTATTATTTCTCAGGCCTATTACTACTGTGCCATCATAGAGGATGTGATACTGCGCTTTGCTTGGACTATCCAAATCTCAGTTACCTCCATGACTACTACGTTGCCTCATATTGGGGACATCATAGCTACTGTCTTAGCTCCCCTTGAGGTATTCCGGTAAGCAAACTACTGAAAAGTTTATCAAGGATTCTTTGTACCTAAGAGATGTCCAAATTAACATTTATTAAAACTTATACTTGGAAAGCTTAAATTTTACAAATTTTCTCAATGTTATCAGCCTCCAAGTCGGAAAAATTTAATAGGACTAAGATTAATTTTTCCAAATTAAATAACTACTGATGACACACAAGCTTTTTAAGAATTGGGCTCTATTGGAAGGGTCATGAGTAACATTTGGGAAGTAAAAAGTCTTAGAACAGAAATTAAAATGAAAATCCTTTAAGAATCATTTTTTGCAATTTGTCAATCTTGGCTATTCAGCCCAATTTTCTCATTGGAAACAAAAAATGCTGGATAATATTTTAAATCTTCCTAAAAACATCAGTGAGCTAACAGGATATCCTTAAATCTAAGTGAAAGCAAGTACCCAGTATAAGCAGAGTACTAATGCCAATTTTGCATTAAAGAAATTTGCCGAATTAGAGATTTGAGGTTCAGTTGTGATAGATAGCCAGTTCCAAAGTGTATGTACCTAAAAACATAGCTTAAAAATATGACATTTCTAAAAAGTAGAAATTGGAGAATTTATAATTGTAGAGGAAGATTTTAACATACTTTTCTCAGTAATAAGTAGTCAGCTAACCAACTTGACCTAATTGACATATGCAGAACACTGCATATAACAAATACTAAATATACATTATTTTACATGCATGTAGAACATTTAACAAAATTAACCATATGCTGGGGCATAAAGGAAATTTTAGAGGAGTAAAATCACAAAAAGATAACTGAAAATCCCCAAATATTTAGAAATTAAGCAGTACATGTTTAATAGGTCCAAGTTGAAATTGCAGCGGAAATTAAGAAAAATATTTTGAACAAAATGAAATTGAAAATGTGCCCCCAAAAATGTGGACTACAGCTAAAGCCATGCTCTGAAGCTCATGTGCATTCTTAAATTGTATGTATTAGAAAAGCATATAGCTCAAAATATTAGAAAATTTAAAAATATAAAATCAAACCCAAAAGAAAGAGGAAGGAAGTATAAAAAGTATTTTTTAAAAATAAAATAGAAAAAAATTAACAAAGCCATAGTTCTTTAAAAAGAACTGGTTTGACTTATTGGATAGAGTTTTAGCCTGTGGACTAAAGGGTCCCAGATTCGATTCCAGTCAAGGACACATGTCCAGATTGTGGGCTCAATCTCCAGTAGGTGCTGTGCAGGAGGCAGCTAATCAATGATTCACTCTCATCATTGATGTTTTTATCTCTCCCTCTTCCTTCCTCTCTGAAATCAATAAAAAACATACAATAGAAAAAGACTAATAAAATTGACAGTGTCTAAACATGACTGATCAAAAAAGGAAAGCAAGCACAAGTTACAAATGTCAAAAAATACTAAAGATTTTTTTTAAAGCACAAGACAATATTGACTAATTTTATACCAATAGACTTTAAAATATAAATGAAGTAGACAAATTCCTCAAAAAGCATAATTTACCAAAACAAATAAAAAAGTGGAAAATTGGGTAGGCTTATATAGATTACAGAAATTAAATCCATATTAAAATCTTCCCCACAATAAAACTACAGGCCCAGGGAATTCTTCCAAATATATGAGTAGGAAATATTATCAGTTTTATAGGAAATTCTTCCAGGGAAAAGAAGCAATAAAAGGAGCACTTCCAAGTTTATTTTATACAGCCATCATAATTTTGATCTCTAAACCTACAAAGACATTTCAAGAAAGTTCAATCTATCTCATCTACGGAGATGCAGAAATCCTGAATATTACCTAAGGAATCAAACAGTATATAAAAAGAATAATATATCACAAGCAGCTTAGGTTCATTCTAAGAATATAAGACTTAATATTTAGAATCATTTAACATTTAAAAGTCAGTTTGTGTAACACCACACTAATAGAGTAAAGGGAGGAAACTCAATATATGTAGAAAGTGTTATTGAAATCAGTCATTTCATAAATACCTATTTATGAAAAAATAGATTATAAAAAACATAAAATCAAATTTAATGGTAAAACGCTATAAGCTCTCCCTTGATATCAGAAGTAAGATGAGTATGCCTATTGTCACCGATTAACATTATACATGTAAGTATATAGCTAGTGCAAAGAGGCTAAGAGGTATAAGGGTTAGAAAGGAAAAATAAAACTATAATTATTTACAAATGACATATATGTAGAAAATTCAAGAGAATGTACAAATATGCTATTAAAATGAATATAGTTGTGTCCCTGAATACATGATTGATGTAAATTAGTAGTGTTCTTTAAAACTGTCACAAACAACTAGAAAATGAAAAACTTAAAAACCATACCACTTTGAATAGCATCAGAATATATCAAATATCTAGGAATAAATTTAATGAAAGATGTAGGTGTGTGAAAATTGACAAGCCAGTTCTATAATTTATATTGGAATACTAAGAATCAAGAATATCTAAGAACATCCTGAAAAGAATAAAGTTAAAGGACTTATACTTTCAGACATCAAGACTTATATAGTTACAGTAATTGAGACAATGTCTAGTGGTGGTGAAAGAATAGACAGTGTCCTCTAAAACAGAATAGGAAGTCCCAGGAATATCCATACATGCATTGACACTTTCTAATTAATATAAAGGTGGCTAAATAACAGTGGAGAAGAACAGGTTTTATAATAATGAGGTCAAGTCAACTAGATCCATATTGGGGTGTTGGGGGATGAATCTCAACCCCTATAGCAGACTGTATGCAAGATCAACTTCAGGTATACCGAAAATACTGCCTATCTAGAACTCTTTACCCAGTAAAAATATCTTTTGCAAATGGTGGTGAAATAGAGGTATTTTCAGACCAGAGATATAATATTCCTCTGATTCAGGATGGCCTGATAAAATAAGAGAGAACCTAGAAACAAAGATAAACCTGAAAGATAAAGATTGAACCTGGAAACAGTGTATTTGTTGCTGTCAGTATTTTCTCTATAGCATTTGTCAGCATTTCTTCACCTTCCAAAATGTCTATGTGTTCATCATTACCGTGATCTCCCCCACCCACTTTTTTCTCTTTCATGTATGCTGCTTTATAAATTAAATTTTTTAGTTAAAAACTCACTTTTTCATTCTTAACTATTTTATTTTTTAAAGAATTTTTTGCTTAATACAGATAGATCTATTGCCCATTTAAAGCAAAAGCAAAAAACCTCCTTGGAATCAACTTTCCTTTTCCAACTGCCCATTTTTTTGCTCTCCTTTAGACCAAAATAAGAGATGTCTAGGCTTGCTGTCTCCTTCAGATGCCCTTTAATTCAACTCAATTCTTTCCCCCCCAATACTCATAACTGAATCACTTTTTTAAATAATATATATAAAAGCCTAAGCAACCATTACAAAGGAACGACGGCCTATCAGCCAGTTACTATGATGTGCACTGACCACCAAGGGGCAGATGTTCATTGCAGGATTTGCTCCCTGGTGGTCAGTTGGCTCCCACAGCTAACTTCCCACTGCCCCTCCCCCAAGCCTGCTGGCCCCTTCTCCCAATAGGCCGATGTGGGAGGGCAGTGGCAGCTGACCAACTTCCCAGGTTCCCTCCCCCAGGTCGGCCAGCCCCCTAATGGGCCTCGATTGCCTGCCAGGCTGAGGGACCCCACACGTGCATGAATTCATGCCCCAGCCTCTAGTTTATAACAGCAGCAAGCACTTTAGTATGGTCTATTATGTACCTGGCACTGCTCCATATGTTAATTTAATGAATCCTCACAATAATTTTAACGGTAAGTATTGTTACTGTCCATTTTACTGGTGACATTGTAGCATAGGTTAAATAACTCATCCAAGCCTTATGCCTAGGAAGTGGTGGAGCCATGATTAGAATCTAGGTCGTCTCCCAGAATCTATGCTCCTGGATCATATGGCCTCTCTACTTTGCTAAATCCAATGGTCAGTTCTCTATTTATTTTACGTCTTGCAAAGTACTTTCTTCACTTGATTTCTCAGAAAATATCCTCTTCTCTCTCACTAGCTATTCCCTCTAAACTCCTTAACTGGTTCTTCCACTTCCTAAATTGTAAGTGGCTGGAGTGCTCCAGGGTTTAATCCTCTTCCCTTGTCTCTCCTCCACTTATATTATTCCTAAGCCCATTCCTAAGTATTTCCAAAAGGAAATACTCTCCTTTTGTTACCTCTAGCCCTGACTCTCCCTTGAACTGCAGACTTAGTCCACCCGGGTACTGATTTTCCCCTTGGACACCTAATGGCTCTAGCCCAGCGGTCGCCAACCAGTGGTCCACGGACTACTGGTGGTCCATGAGGTCTGAAAGGTTGGCAACTGCTGCTCTAGCCAATAGGAACAATCTGGATCTCTAGTAAATGGTGTTATAATTTCCTGAGACCAAAAACTGAAACCACTCACATACCAGTAAGTTTCATAGTTCCATCTTCATAAGTTCTAGTGCCTTCTTCTCATCACTTTAGTTCAAGTCTCCATCTCTGCTGGACTACTGCAATAGCTTCTAACTGGTCTTCCCTTCAGCTGTTTCTGCCTCTTTCTGATCTGTTTACAGTGTAGCAAATAGAATTTAAAAAAAAAAAAAAACACACAAGTCACATCATTCTTCTCAGACCTCTTCTTGTTTTCTTAAGATCTAAACTCTTCAGTAGGATATATAAGACCCTCTGTGGGTCAGGCCCTTTTCTACCTTACCAATTTCATCTCCTGCTATTTTACCCTCCCTATTCCACTCTGGCTTCACTGACCACATTCTGTTTCAGCACACCAAAGGCCTTTCCAACTTGGGGTCTTATACTTTTTATTTCCTCTGTCTAGGACACTTCTGGTTTTTCCTGACTTGCTTCCTTGCATCATTCCAGTTTCTGCTACCCTGTTTCCCCCAAAATAAGACAGTGTCTTATATTTTTGCTCCCAAAGATGTGCTAGGTCTTATTTTCAGGGGATGTCTTATTTTTCCATGAAGAAGAATATGGTACACATTTATTGTTAAATGAAAATAAAGGAAATTTATTACCTGTATACGGTACGGTAGTACAGTAGTTGTCAACACAAACCAGACAAACTGTGAATCCTACAGTATCAAGAATTTACTCATTTATTCAATGACAACCATGTCATCATCTTCTGGAACATCATCATAACAATCCAGTTTCTGAATTTCCTGGTGAATTTCTTGTGACTTCATTTCTTTCAGAATCAGTGGACCAAATCTCTCATGTTTAGCCTAGGAGGGCCTTATTTTTGGGGGGGATGCCTTATATTTCACTAAGAAGGAAATCTGTAAGTAGGTCTTATTTTTGGAGGATATTTTCGGGGAAACACGGTAGATGTCATCTCTTCAGAGAGGCATGCTCTATCTCCTTTCCTGCTTTATTTTCTTTAGTGCACTTACCATTAGCTGATTATGATGTCTCTGCCACTAGAAGTCACACCCCATAAGGGCAGAGGCTTGGTCTGTCTCGTTCACTGCCATTTCCTGTCATAATGTAGGCACCCAATAAATATATGTTCAATAAAGTGGAAGAATCAGTACTCTGAAACTGGATTCCATGTTCCTTTTGCCTATTTCATTCTTACTCTCCTACACCCCTCCTCATTGACATCTTTTCCTATTTTATTTTAATGTTCTAACCCTTAGTTCCTTGGTTTTTACTTCTATGCATAGACACTTGATATACTGGAAGACTTACAGATTATAGTAGTGTGTTTACATTTTATAAGCAATTTGCCTACTCTATTTTACTAAGGCGATTTGTGTGGAACTTCTTCCGCCTGGAGAATGAACATTTGAATAACTGTGGTGAATTTCGTGCTGTGCGGGACATCTCTGTGGCCCCTCTGAATGCAGATGATCAGACACTTCTAGAGCAGATGATGGATCAGGATGATGGAGTACGAAACCGTCAGAAGAACCGGTTGTGGAAGACTAGCCAGAGCATATCCCTGCGCCGGCCTCGCCTCGCTTCTCAGTATGTATGGCTTCCACTTCTGTCAGACGAATTTCCTTCAGGTTTTAAGCACTGGATAATATTTAAGTTAATAAGTTATCAGGGTGAATCAAATGAAATTGATGGTATTCAATCATTTTTTACCTGAAAAAAACAGCAATAACAATTTCATAGGATCCAATCTATAGAAGGTCTTAATGAGCACATAGAATAAAATGGCATTAATACATTAATTAATATCCACTAATTTGGTGTTAAAATTACACTGGAGAAAATTTATTGGAGAATAATTTATGACTTCAGTATGTTTTATGTACAAATAATTTTCAGGTTACAAACTATAGGAATCCTGGCTCTGCCACTTGCCATCTATGTAACTTTGACCAAATTAATTTCTCTATATTAATTCTTATTTGTAAATTGGGAATAATATGGCCCCCATCATAAGGTGGCTGGGTGGATTAAATTCATTCTGATGTGGAATTTTGACCAGTTTCCTCACAGAAAGAGAGCTCAATAAGTATAAGCCATTTTTATTTTTCTATAATAGTATATTTTATCAGTGTGTTGTTAAAAATAACAATGTAGGATATAATGTGACTGTGTTTGAAATTTAGAGATAATACATATTGCAATGGATTGGAATGAAAGAGGGGACTTAAAGTTGAGCATAACCAGTTTTCTAAAGGATAAGGGAGTGTTTGAATAGGGCAACGGCACAGTAAAGACATAAGGCTGGAAATGAAGGGGAGGAAAAAACCATGTGACTAGAACTATAGTAAGAAATTATAACTGAATAGATGAAATATGATTGTAAAAGGCTGAAAAGTGCAAGCTTGATCATGTAGGCAGGAAGGAATCAGAAATTTTTCATAGAAGAATGACCCTATGAAAGTAATATTTTTGTAAGTTTTAATGGCACTGCAATATATATTTTTCAGAATTTTAATAACATTTTTATTGATTTCAGAGAGGAAGGAGAGGGAGAGATCGAGCCCACAATCTAGGCATGTGCTCTTGACCAGAATCAAACCTGGGACCCTTCAGTCCACAAGCCCACGCTCTATTCACTGAGCCAAACTGGCTAGGGCAGGAGATGTGAAGCAAATAATAATAATAGGTTATAGATAACCTATACATAGTGGGGAGCAGAATAGAAATTGCCTAAGTTTTAGATAAAATTTGAAAATTTTCTGAAGAGAAAAAGTGGAATAGAGCAAAGAACTGAGTCTTAGGGAACAAATGCAGGCAAGAGAAAAAAAATAAAAGGGCAGAAAAGGAATGTTAGGGTCAGTAGGAAGAACTTCAAAACAAAGCATAATACTATTATATCAAGGAAGCAGAGTTTCGAAGAAGTGGGAGAAGGACGTATAGGGGTTGGTTGGGTCGGCTAGATAAATGCCACGAAGTCCATGAAGACAATGCTGTAGGGATTATCTCATTGAGCTCCTAAATTTGAAAATCTAATCCTTGTTAGTTACCAGCAGAGGGCAATCTAAACATATAATGTTTCTGTCTCAAAAACAAGGAAGCTCTTTGGCAATAGATTATGTTCAACTTCAGATGTTCATGGGAAAACCTTGGAATACTAGATTGCAACCAGCAGAAGATTTTTAGAACAATGGAGTAGATTCTGTTCAAGGAGAAAGCAGTGAATTTAAAATAAGATCTGAATTTGAGTGTTTTGTGACTCGTGCAGTCTTTAACAACACATTCTTTACTTAAGGTATTGATAGAAAACACAGTTGTACCCTCTGAAGTCTAGATGAACATCCTTGGTTTTCCTACTCTATAATTCTTTCCTCGACCAATACAACTCTAGTAATTTTTCAGCCAATGTCATATTTTCTGACCTCTTCCAGATCAGATCCTATGGACTCCAAACAAGCTCACACTGTTTGTTTTCCAAGGGGACTGTTATCTGAAAGTGCCCAATTAGGATCATTTGTCAACTGAAAACAACTGTCATGCCTTTCTTTAGGTCTTGCCTTCTGCAGGCTAACTCTCTTGGTTTTTCATGTATACCTTAAGTAGTATTATTTCTGCCATCTTCATCATAATTCTTTATATTTGTTGAATGCTTTATTGGTGCTTTTTATATCCATTTTATTACTTGATATTCACATTATCTCCTTGAGGTGAGAGTAGTAATATGTGTAACATGCATTACTATTACTTCTTTACAGATAAAAATTGGCACTCCAAGAGGTTAAAGAGGTACATAATAAAATCAAAGTCAGTACTCAAACTCAGATTTTCTTATTACAGAGTACTACTCTGTTGCACATGACCTACCATTGTTATTATCTTCCTCTGGTTGAAATCTAGTTTCCTAGTATTTTTCCAATAATACCAGAAATTGAAGATGAAACTTCATGAATAGTCCATCTGGTACAGTAGACTATAGTGCCTGCTTAGGATCTGTTCTTAATGGTGGTATTTTGGAAGTGGATCTGATACTGTGGATGTGTTTGTATTTTAGTAATGGACTGAGTCTTCTTTTTCCCCTTATTACTAGAACCAAGACTCGTGACACTAAGGTATTGATAGACGACACAGATGATGAAGCTAACACTTGAATCCTCTGAAGTCCAGATGAACATCCTTGGTTTTCCTACCCTACAATTCTTCCTCGACCAACGCAACCTCTAGTACCTTTCCAGCCGAAAACAGGAGAAGATACATAACACATTTTCTGAGCTCTTCCAGATCGGATCCTATGGACTCCAAACAAGCTCACTGTGTTTCTTTTCTTTTATTCTGGGTTAATTTTCATTTTCTATTTTTAAAACAAATATTTACTTCATTTTGCCAATCAGAGGACATTTTAAGGAACACAAACATAGTATCAAATGGATTGTTTACAATCACAAGGACACAGATACCTATCAGGATGAAGAATAGGCACTGCAAGGACCCTGTGTGGGACGGTACTGAGTTACCTTGGCTTCTGCTTGGCCCAGTTTTGACTGGTTGAAACCGGACATTAGTTTTTAAATTTTTCGTCCGTTTATGTGGAGAATTTTTTCCTTTCCTTCATACCCAGCGCAAAAGCACTGGCCGCACTTGCAGGGAAAGTGCAACTTTGAGCAGTACCTTCATTCATGAAGCTACTTTTTAATTTGATGTAACTTTTCTTATTTTGGGGAGGGTTGCTGGGTGGGTGGGAAATATGATGTATTTGTTACAAATAGTTTTCTCATTATTTATGAAACTTAATCATAAAAGAATGATATAACTCCTGTGCAATGAAGGTGATAACAGTGAAATAAGACGGGGGAAACTAATGTTGGACAGCATTTATGAGGGGTTAGTCCACAATACCTCTTTCATGAGACAACTTGCACCCGTTTGACTTTCTTTTTAATTTTAAGCCAAAGCTTCATTACTGATTTTCTTAAGTCGCTGCTGCTTTAGAATTCTGAGCATGACTCTCATAACAAAACATCCACACACTTTCACACAACCAGTTAAAATTTAAGAGGTCTGATACCTTTTTTTTTCTTTAAGGAGCAGATGTGGAATACATTTGCCAATATTTCAACCATAACAACTAAAGTTATGCCTTATTAAGCTTTAGCATGTAAGGTAATTGAAGTATAGCCTTTACTAACTCTGAATTAGAAGACAAAGCTATTTCGGGGACTCTACACCCTCATTGGATAGCTTTTCTTCTGGGCTCACTTCCATTAGCCTGAATGTGATCAAATTAAGTCTGTCTTGGGAAACCGTATTTTTGAGAGCATAGAACAAATTATCCTTCCTCTTTCACATTATGCTGATAAAACAGTCCTTGGCAGCCATTTCTCCCAATAGTTTTAAAGGATGTACATTGGATTGTTTGCCCTCCTTGATAGAAAACTCACTTGTAAAATTTTGAGGTTCTAAGCTTGATCAAACACAATTATGATCTATCAAGTCTGTTCACAATGTCCATTTGCACTTTGTCTAATTTCTTTCCTATGTTCCCAAACTTAACCCAAATAAGTCCAAAAACTATAAAGGATTTTACTTTTGAATGTGGTTAGCAGTAAATTTAGCATTTCATTATTTAACACAATTAACATAAATACCAGGAAAAGTAAAATGTGTTTTAATCCTCCTGTCTTTCCAGATCCAGGTGAAGATTCAACATCAGTGGATTTGTGAAATTAAATTACTTATGTCGTTTTCAGCCTAATTTTAGACAAAGGAACAAATGAGTTGAAGGGCAGCTATTATTGCTTACTTAGTCTAAAAAACATGTTTACTGCCCCTTAATATACCGCTTTTATCATCAGCTCTTCTCCCATGCATCACAAGTCTTTATTCATCCCTGTCATATTTTCAATAGATTATATTAATGTTATTCTTACTACCAAAATTATATCAATTAACTGACCAGTTTCTTTTTAAAGTAGTTTCTTCCATCTTGACTCTGAAAATGTTCCCTTTCTAAATCAAAATACTTTTTTCTTCTGAAAAATTATACATCTTTGTGGATTTTATTTTTTTGTGTGTGTTTTGCCAAGCATATTTCTTGTCCCAAAACTGAAGAAAAGTTTAATTACTGATTTTTTTTTAGTTTAAATAAATTGAATCATTTATAGTAATCAGTGATAACGAGTTAGTGCCCCATAATAAATTAAAGGTTGCATTATTTTTTCCTAACTATTGTTTTTGTACTTTAAAACTATGGGGAAATATTACTGGTCTGTCAAGAAATAGCAGTAATTAATACTGAATTATATAGATAAGTCCAGTGGATCAGTCATTTCTTATACAAATAAAATTGGTGGTACTAATGTGTATCCAGAGCAATTTGAATGATCAACTCCATTCTCTATTAGCAGTTTGAATGATTAATTCCATTCTCTATATAATGACACACTAAAATTTCACTAAGAAATTTGTGCTGATCCGTGCTACACACTAATCTTACAGGTGACTTCTGGCATATGAACCCTCAGTGTATCCTATGGCCAATTTGGTGTTTATTCAGCTATTACGATTTTAGGTCCTAATCAGTATTATCTATTCATAGATAATATAATGTTTAGAATGTGTTTCTTTTCTGATGTATTTGTCCTATTAACATAGTCTGTTCAAAAATGATAAGGCTTATATAATTTCAGCTTACCATGACAGATGCTTAAATATATATTTAAACACACGCACAGCTTTATGTTTCTCCTAAAGCTGTAAAGAGAAAAGAGGGCTTTTCCTCATAAGAGGAAGCAGTTTGGGAGACAGAATATACATTTAAAATTTTTCCTCCAAAAAAGACAGAGTGTATTTTCTTTCCTCCTCAGTTTTATATGTTCTAGCAGTTGGGAATGCTTTGTGCAACCTAAAATTTTAATGGAGACTTCTGTGCACTGAAACTCTCAGTAGAACTCTTAGGAAATGAATATTACAGAGTCATATGAAAGGAACAGCAATCTAACCAAAGGTAAACTTTCATTTGATTTTAGGTTTAGAAATTCTAGTTTTATTTGACAAGTGTGCAATTCATAATATCAGTTAAAATATTCCCCAAATGACTGTAAAGGAAGTATAAGTAAAAGAATAAAATTCATTTTTTGTTTTGATGATAGTTAATATGGAAAGCATTGATGTGTATAGAGAAACTAGAAAATAAAAGTGGCTTATTTTCTATGCACAAATATGCACCTTTATTTAAGGCTGCCTATACCATTAAAATGGAGTAATTGATTATTTCATATGCAACAAAATAATCAAAGGTTAAGTCATTAATTAGATTAAAATGGTTATTTTTAAGATTGGAAAAAAGTTGAAAACCCATTTGCAACTTTCTTTTCCAGCATCTACCATTTTTCTCCTTAAGAAAGCTGTTTAACTTCAGACTCAAAAGCAGTGATGTGAGGAGTATACCAGTCACCTCAGCAGTAACCTATATGGACCCCTAAAGAAGGAAAATGGGACTCAGCCCCTAGGATCTATGACTTCCCAATATTCTCAACAGGAGAGTTCTAAGAAATTATCTGAGATTTTACTAGAGGTAAAATCCACCATGGTTTGACCCAAGTACATTCATGACCACTAGAGAAAGCTCATCCTTTCTTACCAGGTAAAAGAGCAAAGTAATCTATTACTGAGTCCTACAGGCATCAGATTAAGAGACACATAGTTGAAGAGAAATCAAATAATTGTGGAGATAGCAGAAAAGAGCAAGAAGATATTGGAACTTGGGAGCAGGTGCAGGGCGGTTAGGAAGGTAGGTGAGCTCCATTGCATAGAGGTGATGCTGTCTCTCCTTTTAGTGGTTATGCTGCTGCCAGAACCGGCCTTTATTTTCCTGTCATCTTTGTCCATTGCTTTGCATTATTCAAGAAATAGTTTTTTTGTGCCCAAATGTCATCTTTAAGCAATGACTAGAAAAATGTCTTAGGCTAAGGAAAATAATTCAGAAAATAACTATCCATGGCATTATTTTATTCAAAAACATAGAATTCTCTGAAATTATGCACTTTATTTGGTAAACAAATTTCAAATTATTGTGTTTTTTTTTAAATTGTTTGTATAAAGTTAAGATAGCTGCTCAGATTTCAGAAATAATCATGTTGAGTATCTGGCTTTCTCAACTACAAAATCAACATGCTTTCGCAAATCTAATAAATAAAAAAAAAAGCCAATATCATTACATTTAAGATCTATAGTCACTAGGTTAAGACAAAGTCCTAGTAGAACTTTGGGGAAAAGTTAGATAAAAAATCCAATTTATCTGCTTAGTTCATTTTCTTTTTATGATGCATCTAAATTTTGTTTTTTACTTGTGATAATTAACTGAAGCAAAGGGAGTTTAGGTGAGATTTTACAAATTAAGCATACGTGTCTGCATTTGAGGTATCAGCTTGATAGTACATTTTAAAATCTAAGTGTCTGAATTTAATTTCAAATTAAATAATGTCAGAGCACAGTAGTAATATAGGATAGAGTTGATTATATTAGAGCATAAGAAATTTGTGCTGATCCGTGCTACACACTAATAATTTTACCAGCACAAAACCACATTCCATCCGACAAATATGAAAAAGTAAAAGTATCTCATCAGATTTGAAGAACTTAATATAAGCTCTGTGAGAATTTTGCCTGGGAATGGAATGGAATTTTGCCTGCTAATTGGTATGGTTGATAATGCCTTTCTTGTATGAATTAGCAAAAATCTTTATATGAGTTGTCCCTTAAAAACAATCTCCCAGGATGTATTGACTTATTTATTAACCAGGAAAGAGGAAGAGAGGGGGACGAGATGAGTTTCCTTGAGGAGAATCATAGTAATTTTCCTCTAATGTATGTCTTTGTAGCAGACCTTTGGTTTATTTTATTAAAGCCACCTTCAGATTTTGGGGGCGGGAGCTGAGTTTGATTTTTTTTTTTTTTAATTTTTTTTATGGTGCCATTCAACCTAAGGACAATCAGATAACCAATTGTTTGCCTTGGATTTAGTGTCTGCTAATTACACAATCTCATCTATATACCTTCAAACCATTTACTTGATAAAACTTCCACCATATTACCTTAGTTCTGCCTATGCTTTTTCCTCTGAACCACCACCAACCAGAGGGAAGACTTATAA